TTACCATTAGTAAGTTCCTCAGTCAATCAGTCAATCAGTTATTCAATCAGTCAGTCAGATATATAGTATAATATACGTATAATATAATATAATCAACAAGGAGGCCATTTTAAAAGGACACCTTTTTCGCCTTGACACAGGCCCAACAGGCACACACACTCCTACAGACGGATGGAAGCATTCCGCATCCGGGTATAGCTGCGCCTCGTTGTCGACTCGAGAAAAAAAACACCCTTGTAATCGCGGCGCATTTGCTTCGCTTCTGTTCGTTCATAAAGCGTTGGAAATTATGGAAATTAATTGAAATTCCAAACATGCCGTTTGCTCTTTTGGCCAAACCAACAAATTAGCATCATTATCCCAGTGCGGTAATGCCCCTCGCCTCCCCCCGCCGCCATCACTTCAACCAAATCCTCAAGGCGTAAATGAGGCCCTTTGAGCTTGCCTAATTTTAGGCGCTGCAGATTCTCTCTCTCTCTCTCTCTCTCTCTCTCGGTGTGTACACTTGTGTGTCTGTATGTGTGCAAATGTGTGCCTGCCATAAACAGCTTTGTATTGCCGTTTAATTAAGCCTATTAATTACATGCTGCATTAATTTTAAAATCAGACGAAAAGCACACGAACTGATTGACTGCCTGCGAGCATGAATTGAGCATATAGTAAACATATTTTTGAGCAAAACAGCAACAACAGAGACAACAAGGCACGACCTCAGCGTCATCAGCAGCAAAAAAGTCATATTAAAAATCATTCGCTTGTGAAGATCAAAAGCATTCTTTTTCACCGAAATGCCATGCAGAATGAGGGTTGGGCTGTCTGCCTGCCAGGGTTGCGTAGTTTAGCTGGCCGCCCTGCTTGCCAGACCGCCTCGCTCAAGCATTCAAGCAACAGAGCAGGGCACACGCACACACACACACACACACGCACATATATATATACATGCACAGAAAGTCTGCCTACCTATATACATATACACGGAGATGCCAACACGCTTTAATCTTTTTATGCGCTTACTTCTTGCTCGCCGCTTTTGTCTCTGTGTGTGTGTGTGTGTCTGTATTTATTTATGGTTTTTCGCGTTCAACCACCAAAGTAAAAACATATTGTATGCTCTGTGTGTGTGTGTGTGCACATTTATTAAATATTATTGCTCTTATTTTGTGATATACTTGGCATTTTTTATTGCCCCGAGACAAGGTTGTGTTTGTAGTGGTTGCTGGTGTATATAAGTGCCAGTTACTGGTTATTGTTATTGCTTTTGTTGTTGTTGTCATTTTCGTTGTTGTTGTTGTTGTCGTTCTGCACACACACTGGCAACGCTTATTAATTTTAATGCCCAGGCCATGAATAACGCTTAATCAATAAGTCACATGCGCCGCCATTTTTTTTTTCTGTGTGGGCGTAACTATTTGCTTCTTCACGAACTTCTTTCTTTTTTTTGTGGAACTTATCAGATACGTTATTATTTGAAATGAAATGAAATAAAATCAAGAATTATAGAACCATTTTTAATCAAAAGTTCTCTTTTATGGTAAAATTTCAAGCTAATTACAACAGCGAATTTCTTGAAGCCAGATTTAGCTGCTTTAAAGATTTGATAGCTTATAAAATGTAATAAATAAAAAAAAAGCCAATTCTTGGTAGTATATTTGGTTGTTTAAAATTCAAATTAATATTTTTTGGTTGCATTAAATTAATAAATTTAAAAACTTATTTGATATAATTGAGGTTACAAAATTAAAGCTAAATAAAAGAAATAAATTTAAAGAAATTGTAATATTCCCTCTGAGAATTGAAGCGAATACAATAAAAGTTTAGTTAGATTCATCAATTGGCATGAGATTTGCCTGAATCAATCAGTTTATATTGAATAGAAAATATAAAGAAAATAATATATAAGCGGATGCACTCAAGAGCAAAAGCTTGTCTTTTTCATATAGTTGATTATTTTTCTTCAATGTTAAATCAATTTTTCATAGAATTTAAAGTAGATATAAATATAGATTAGATGAAAGGGCGTCATGCGTTTCTCAACCTAGAGCTGAGCTTGAACTTATTTAAATATATAAACATGGAATTAGTTAAGGAATTCGTCAGATATTTTTCACATTGTCAATGAGTAATACAAAATGGCAATTGTTAATAAAAGACAAACAAATTGCGTCACGCGTCAATCGCGCGGCATTATCGGCTACTTAAATCTATGTCGGACTATAAGGCCTGGTACCGTTATTAGATGCGCGTAATTGCCGTTTTACAGCCGTCGGAGGGGTTGACAAAAAACAACGAAAAAATTTCAATAACAAGAAAAATAATCATTTGTTTCTTCATAAGAGCGGGAAACATTTTGATTGGCAAGCAAACACGTGTTCGCAGCTCAACGCCCGCCGTAATCGTGAGTGCCGGCGTCTGTCCGGGCCAAAAACAAATTAAGTCACCCTTTTATTACGGCATTTAATTTGAGCGTAATATTGTCAACGTTCTTGATAAATGGTCGCAGCAAATCCAACTCAACGCAACTATGACTGCATTTGTTTGATCCGTAATTTCGGCCACTTGACGATGCGGCTGAGTGAGGGCTGAGCTCCGGCTTCAGTCCAAATCCTAAACGGCGGGGTGGTTTATTTGTGCTACAAGTTTTGACAATGCCAAATGCGATTAGGCCGTGCAGGAAGCCGCGCGGAGTTGTCAGCAGGTGCAGTCTCCGGGCGCAGCTAATTGAGCGTGATGAGCAGCCGGAACGAACGGACAATGGATATCGTTGAGAGCTGATTTATGAAACTGAAAGTCAAATATAATTTCGTAAAAGACTTCAACTTCCAACTCGATCAGAGACTATAAATAGTGTAGCGAGATGAACTACAAAAATCGATAAAACAACAAGGTTGAGGTTGGTATGAGATACCCTGACTAGGGGATACCCTAGTAAATTTTCAAAAAAATAGTTTTCGTAAGGTTTGAACTCGCAACAAACTGCACAGCTTGCCGCTGTCTCTATTGAACATCCACACCAATAATTGTATCTTAGTGAGATGCTTCCTTCTGCCTGTTACATACTTTTTCACAAAAACCATTATACCCTTTTTACACATTTTCAATGGGTATGCAACTTTCGCTCTTACAACCTTTGAACCGCATTTTCCAGCTTAAATAAAACCAGCACAACATTATTGAAAATGGATTTAAGGCCGAGCTGTTGGTAAACAAGAATGTTAACTTTTTCCCCCCATTTTCCGCACTTGCAGGTGGAATTCCCCGACATTGTACTCAATAAGCTTACTATAGTAAGAATTTCAGTTTCTTTGTTTACCAATTATTTAACAATGACATTGCATTTTGTTTTAAATAATTAACTAAATTGTTTTAAGAATTCCTAAAATGCACTTCTTAGTTTTTGTGCTTTCTTAAAAACCAACCTTTACATAAACTATAAAATTTTGATATCTTCATGTTTTTTTTTGTGAAAATGTAGGCATAAGGAAGCATCTCCGACTGTATTAACTATATATATTCTTGATCAGCATCAATAACCGAGTCGACCTAACCATGTCCGTCTGCCCGTCCGTTCTTCCGTCTGTCGCGTCGATCTCAGAACCTATAAAACCCAATGATAAAAAAGTCAGAAACTCCCGTCAAGAGCCTCTTACTTGCTTAAAAATAATGAATTGAAATTGCAAAAAGAAAAGACAATTTTATGCGAAAGTAATTGATGATTGATTATTTTGATCTCAATTATTCAGAGATTACCAAAACAAAAGTTGTTACAACAAAAATGGTAAATTATAGCATATTCTAGATTATCGTGCGGATAAAATTATTAATATATTTAAAAAAGAAAAGCATTCGTGTTAGCAGAGTTTAATGCTTAAAGAATATAAAACTTTTGTTCAACATGATTCTCATATTTTTCTATATGAAATAAATAAAAAAGGAAAAAAATTTATATATAAAAAAATAGAATATAGAGTTGAATATTTAAAGAACGAAACACGTTTTTTTAATACTTAACTCTCTAGAAGTATCTAAATATATCTTACATCTTAGCATATTTTGAATTAATCAAAATTTGCTTAAATTCAGCCTAGCTGTAACTATTCCATTAATCCATAAATGTTTATTCAAGCTATTTGCCTTAGTCAATAAAATCAGCGCAGGAAAGCGTGCACTTAAAATTTCAAGAGCTCCATCTTCCGCCTGGTAATTGTCCGCTAATATGTTTGTCTAACTAATTAGACTGAGAACAGAAATGCCGAAATCCGGCAAGAGCAACTGCAGCGCACAAATGGATGCCAGCGCCATAAATTCCGCAATTACACCCGAAACCCATCCAACCCCACTCTTCAGGACGAGGACGAGGGCGAGGACAAGGATGTAAGTATGTTGTTAACAACGAAAGGGGTTGCTGGCGTTTGTTATCTGGTCTACGCCGGAATTTATGGGCAACTTTTGTGACATGAACATGTTAATTGCCCCGCCCGGTTGCCAGGCTTAGAGTACTTTTTACAAAGTTCTTAATAATTGACGCTCGTTTTGTTTCGTTTGCGTTTTAATTAAAAGTCGCAATGCGTTGCAGGCAGGATGAGAGGCACGTTACGGCTATGACCATTGGTCAGTGCAGTGCAAACTTTACCGCATAGGTACGCAAACTGGCAACGCACAGGACAACAAGATTTTAAGCTGTCTAAATTGGATGGAATGCTTACGCTTTGCCCGGTGACTTGGCAACTACTGTTCGGGCGTGCATCACAAATACGGCGGGATTTGGCAAAAAGGGTACGGACTTTGTTCATTAGTCAAGTTGTTATCAATGCGGTTACAGCTGGACTTAAGCTCGTTGCAAATGCAACAAACCTAATGACAATATATGCTATAAATGGGCTTACATAACATTTCCATAATTAAACTTAACTTAAAATTAAATAAAAATAATAACGAATGCCAGACTTTCAGAGTCCGCAAGTAACATTTAAAAGTAAATAAGTAACATATTCAACTTAAACTGAAATGAAGTGTGTTAATAAATCAACTCGCAGTTTATGCTTAAAATTAGTCCTCATTATCCTCAGCCCGTGAACTCTTCACTAGGCTCCCGCCGTAGTAGGCTGTTATTGCCACCAGACGCGTGTCCAGATAATTGTGCTCCACCTCGCACTGCTCACCTAGGTGCGAGAGTGCAATCACCTGTTGTATGTTCGAGTTGCGTGGCAAAAAGAAGCCAATATTCTCAGTTAGACGACGCGCGTGCTGCATCAACTGGCTGGCGCCCAGCGGCAGCAGATGCTGTTCAATGTCGAATGTGGCTTGTTTTAGATAATCGGGCCCACCCCAGGGCGGGCTGAGGAACACAACGTCGGGTCGCAGCCGTGTGCTGTTGGCAAACTGCAAAAAGTCCGCGTGCACAAACTCAATCTTGTGCGCCACGCCGTATATGAAAGCATTCTGCTTTGCCATGGCTAATTTGTTTGCATCAATGTCGATGGCAATCACGCGGCTGCAGGTGTTGGCGAATTGTATGGCATTGCCGCCGCAGCCGCAAAAGGCGTCCACAACCACATCGCCGGCCAGACGCCGCGCCGTCTGCTTGGCAATCTTCTCCGGGGTGACGGAGAACCAGCTCTCCCGATCCAACAGTATGCCCTGATCGAAGCGAGAAAAGAGCGAAAAGCGCCTGAACCAGTATTTACGCAACAAAATGTCATCCCGCATAAACTCTGGGATATTCGAGTTCTTCTGTGGCTTCTTCTTTTTCTTTTTCTTAATTACGCGCGATTGTACGCCATGCAGCAGCTCGTCCTTAACCTCGTCCTTAGGCATGATTACCAAATTTGGATCGGTATCACTCTCGGATTCGCTGGCAGGCCGCTGTCTTGGCTTGCGTCGCTTTCTGACAACTCGCACACCAAAAGACGTGGGCAGGCCGAGCAGCCGCAGCTGCTGCTCCTCGTCCAGTAACTCGGGTTCGTCGTTGGCGGTAAGATATTGCTCCTCCTCGCCGCCGCTTTCAGCACTTACTGCACTGTCCTCGCTTTGCTGAATATCTAAATGCGACAAATTATCACTTAACTCGTCAAACGTTTGCTCAACGCCTTGCAATCCATTGGACAGGTCCCTTTGGTAGTTCTCGCAGACACAGCTGAATATGTGCCAGAAGTGAGCGCTTTGATCGCAGGCGTGCCGCTCCCACAGCTCTTGCCAAGCTGTGCGCTCCTCGGGCGTGGCTAACTCAATTTCCAGCTTGTATTCCGGGTGCTGTTCATGCCACTTCTGCTCGAGAAAGTCGTGCCCTTCACGTTGCCAGAAATCCAGCCAGGCTGCTTGTTGAACCTGCTCCTTCCACTGCGGATCTAAGCTGCAGCAGCTATCACAGCTTGCGCCTCGCTCAAAGCGCTGCGAGAATGTATAAAACTGAGGATTGCTGCGGGATGTGCTCAAATAATGCGAGTTCATCTCATTGGCCCCTACTGATATTGTCCTTGCACAGCAGTCGAATCTCTAGCCGGCGTTGAATGAGCTCCTCGGCCTGGTCAATGCGGTTCGTGTGCCACACGCTGAGCGCAGGCCTGTGAGTCTGCTGGACCTTTTCCAAAAGGGCAGACCTCAGCTTCTCGTTATCGCCCAGTTGCAGCAATTGCTCGTGCAAGCCCCGTGTGGTCAACGTAGGACTGTTCGGCTTCTGTACGTTGCATAGCACAACCTCGCCGCGCACAATGCAGTAGCCACCATGCGCCAGGCTTTCCACGCCTGGGCTGTCGTACGTGAAGTTCAGGAGGAGCAGGGAAACCGCTCCAGTGGGCAGCCTGTAGTCACTACAAGGAAAGAGCTGCTGGTTAAGTCTGGAAACAGAAGTTAGCGCTGCTAGTTACCTGGGCAGGTGAGGCACGGTCACGCTTTCTAGCTTAAAGTAATCAGGAATTGCGCACAAGCGTCCAATTACGGCGCACTTTCCGTAGTGAATCTGCCGGTAATCGGGCTCCAGCACCAACTCCTCGACTAGGAGATGTTTAAAGAAATCACAGTATTTGGGAAAATGCTCAGCTGGATCGTTGATAGATTCGGTAATATCAACGTCACTCATAACTCGCCCAACAATAATAATAATATAACAATATGCGACTAAAAACAGAAATATGCGCCGCCAATTGCAGCCAGTGTTGTAATATAGATGTAAATTACCACGAGTATTTTACAGCTGCAGTCACTAAATCGAATATTTAACAGTGCCAGTGTTGCAGGTCGCTCAAATACTAAAATACGTCGTTTACGAGCACAAGCGTCATTTTCGCCATCCCTGGTTCATTAAAAAAGCGGCATTGCGAGAAAACAAATCCAATCTGTTGAGAAATTGTTTAGTATATTAAAGCACAACACAAAAAGCAAAGTAAGCCAGCATGTCGTTCATGAACCCAGTCGATATGGTGGATGAAGATGCCGCGGACTTGCAGTTTCCCAAAGGTAACAATAATAACAACAACAAATTCTTCAATTGCCACAAATGCAACTTACAAGTGAAGCGAAAAAGAGTTTTACGGGAGCCCCACATGGCACCGCATGTTTACCATAACACATTCAATTACCTCTTTGCAGCAAAGCCTAGCACACAACAGGTTCAGCGCTCCACAGCAAAATTTGCCCGCGCACGCACTGATCAAAAAACAAAGCGTACAACAGTCTTTTTTAATGCCCAGGCATTCCACAAGAGATTAGAGGAAATAGCTTCCAGCGTGGACAATAGTGCTCCCACGACAAGGCACCCATGCGGGCCCACTTGTGCGACTTGCCGTTGTAGCCTTATAGAACCGTACATCAAGTGCTCCGAGTGCCTTGATGTCTTGGTCTGCTTGCAGTGCTTTGCACGAGGTCGCCAAATTGGCGCCCATCGCAACTGCCATGCCTATATTATAGTACGGGATGATATTCAGGTGTTTTCCACCGAGCCCGGCTGGTCGGCACGGGATGAACGCACACTGTTGCACGCTCTGCGCACGCACGGCTACGGCAACTGGGATGCTATCGCGGATGCCCTTGAGCGGCGGCATAAGCCCGAGGAGATACGGAGGCACTATCACGATTGTTACTTTGGTGGCATCTTTGAACGGCTGTTGGGTTTGCAGCATACCCAAAACTGTTACCTGCCTGAGCGTATGCCATATGTGTTCAAAATGAGATCCCTCGAGCCGCCCCGCCACGATGACATTGCTTCTATGCAGTTTAAGCTGAATGCAGGCTATCGCTGTGCCCGTGGCGACTTTGACACGCCCTACGATGCTTCTGCGGAGGGTCTGCTGTCCATAATGGTGGATCAGCAACGTGTTGGCGCTGATGATGAGCCTGAAAATGAATCACCCGACAAGGAACTTGTCGACGAGCTGCAGTGCGCACTTGTCCGTGCCTATAACAATCGCCTGAGGTGCCTTTGACCCTGTCCAACATTTACAATCGACTTTATTCAACTGTCAATCTATTTGTAGAGAACGCCAGCGACGCTACAAAGTTATGCGCGATCATGGCCTCATCATGCCCAATCGCACGGTCAGCTGGATATCCAAGTATGTGAGTGCGTTCCGCAGCGATGCCAGCTGCATGCGCTTCCTCGCCCTAATGCAAGTTTGCGAGCCCACCGAGTTTGACCTGCTGGTGGAGTCGTTGAGCTACTTTCGCCAACTACAGAATCGTCTCCATTGGCTCCATGACATACGCCAGCATGGTGTACGCACACTCTACGGCGGCGGACTTTATACGCGCCTCTACAAGCAGCGCCAGCAGGCACAGCGAGATTATGCGCGACAACGGCAAAACGATGTCAACGACTGGCAACAATTGGTGCATCATTACGAAAACAATCAAAATGCGGGCCAGCTGCCACAGGGCAGCAGCTCCAGGGTATATATGTTGTATCCGCGGCGCAAGGCGAGTCCCATGGAAATTTCGGGTAAGCAAAAACAAGGGAACAAAGCATAGAAAATGAATATATCACTATACATACCTGAATGTCCTCCATATGATGGACATTGAATTATGGGAACGGGATCTTGTCTGCGATAATCTGCATATATTTATCATAATCCTAACAGGCAGGCTTTAGGTCTATTATTCTAGAAATTAGCATTAACAGCAACAATTTTTCTTGCAGATCTGCCCGGTTACTCCAAGCTGGATCCTGGAGAACGTAATCTTTGTAGCGTGGCACGTCTGATACCGCAGGCCTATTTGGAGTATAAAAATCAACTGATTGCCGAGCAGGCCAAGCTGGGTCATCTGCGGCTAGGCGATGCACGGCGGCTGATTAAGATCGATGTGAACAAAACGCGACAGATTTATGATTTCTTGGTGGAAAATGGCCACATACGACCGCATTCTTTTGGCTAGGAGTTTTCCTAGCATTACTTTTCGTTTCACTTGTAAATTGCAAAAGCAAATTAAATATTTTGTATATCATGTATGCTCATGAGCTCCATCTGGTTGTTTTGCAGAGTTCGAAAATGCCGAAACGCTGCTCATATCGGAGGTGCACATGCTGCTCGATCATCGCAAGCGCCAAAACGAATCCGCCGACGAGGAACAGGAGTTCTCAGAGGTCTTTATGAAAACCTACGCATACACAGACAGTTTCCGCAAGTTCAAGAACAAAGAGACCATTATGTCCGTGCGCAGGTAAACACCAAACACCTGTCTTAAAAGGAAGCATCTGTTCTAATATTTTATTTTATTAACTCCCAGTTTGCTTATGCAAAAGAAACTGCACAAGTTCGAGCTGGCCGCGCTGGGCAATCTGTGCCCGGAGGCGCCGGAGGAGGCCAAGGCATTGATACCCTCACTGGAAGGTCGCTTTGAGGATGAGGAGCTGCGCCAAATACTTGACGATATCGGCACCAAACGCAGCTTGCAATACTAATTTCGCTAAGTTTTGTAGAAAAAGAATTATTTAAAATATATAAAAACTTAGTTTTAGGTATAATACGATAATGTTACCTATGGCTTATGTATTGTAACTAATATCTGCTCCGGGCAGACTTTCCGCGACCTACGAGTTTTAACTGCTCCAAGGGACACATGTTCCCTAGTAGCTATTTAATTTTTTTATATATAAATTTGAATAGCCCAGTTGTCTAGCAAATGAAGGAGGTCCTATAGCCGAAGGATCTGGGCAACATGAATAAGTTATAGCATCCGTTAATGGTCATGAGATCAACATGGAGAGTTTGGTTCTTTTGGACTCAGCACACAGTTTCCGATTATTTTGGTCTATCGAACTAGTTGAAAGTTCCGACTCGGAACTTTTGCAATGCGCAAGCCGAGATAAAATGTATTTATTTCCGTTTGTTATTTACTAAAAACATAACTAAATGCATTTTTAACAACATAAAAGTAAATAAATGAACGCAAAAGATAGAAAATAGTTAGTTATTTGTTAGCGCATTATTCATTTGAATCAGCCGAAACTCAGTTCAATTGAGCTTGTTCCGTAATGAACAACAACAGAAATGAATGTAAACACGATTAGCTGAAGCAAGTGCCGCTGTACAACAAAGTGGACGCAAAGTACGCAACATGAACAAAGATAACTCCAGCATGCAAATGGATCCGGAACTGGCGTTACGGCTGCTCGCAGACGGCGCCGTTTTGGCCATAGCTGGCGTTCCGGTGGGCACAGAGTTCGGCATTGACTTGTGCGCCTATACGATAGGGCCGGATTTTCGCGGCGTCAAGATGATACCACCTGGCGTGCATTATGTGTGGTGCGCTTCGCGCGGCCCCTATGGCGATACGGCGCCACGTGTTGGCTTCGTGCATTTCTTCCAGCCCAACGAGATACTCGTGCGCGAATGGGACAATGAGCTGGAGGAGCTGCGTCCACGCCAGACAGCGGATCCGGAGCTGGAGCGTGAGCGCATACGCAAGAATCTGGCGCAACTGGAGCGCGTGCTGGCGCCCTACGATTATCGCTACGTGTGCCAGTGGAAGGATCTGACGGGCAGCGTTACCGAACCGTGTGTAAAACGCTGCCAGCCGGAGCTGGGCACAATCCGTACCAACATTGAGCTGCAATCCTGCACGGATGCGGACAGGCCACGCGGCGGCGCCGACAGCATCAGCAGACGCAACACAGCTGCCAAACTGCTGTTGGACGAAAGCGATATGCTGCCTCATCTGAAGCCCGTGGAGGGCACAGCGCCGCGTTTCTGTGTGGTGCCTGCGCGTGTGCCACAGGATGCACTGCCGGCGGATGTGTCACGTCATGCCATGGACTGCATAGCAGCTGTGGATAGGCTATTCGAGAGCTTTGGCAACAAGCCGGATGCGCTCATTGAGGAACTGCAACTGGCATTTGTCTTCTTTTTGGTTGGCTATTCGGTGGAGTCCTTGGATCACTGGCGCAAGCTGCTCGCCCTGCTGGCCCACTCGGAGACAGCCGTGGGCAAGCACAAGCTGGCCTTTATGAAGTACAGTGAAGTGCTGGCCCACCAGCTGCCCCATCTGCCCGAGGAGCTGATGGCGCCCACCACGCACAACACAGTCTACAAGGATGTGCGCGAGCTCTTGGTAAATCTCTACGCTGGCGGTCTCATGGTGAATGCGGAGCGTCTGATGAAGCGACTGGCCAAGGAGCTGGGCTGGCACTTCGAAGGGCTACTCGACGAGGATCCCGAGGAGCAGCCGGTGATCATAGAGCTGGCACAGTAAGGCCAAGTAAGCAAAGCTTATCATATCATTTTCTGCTAGGTTCTTTATTGATGTCTATTTCGGTTCGCAGGGAAATGGCCTCAGCGCAGCGAATGCTGGGTGCGCAGATAGTTCCACAGATCCCTGGCGGTGCGTATGCTGACCATAAACTGGCACAGCTTCGTTTCAATCAGACAGAGTATCAGGAACTTGGCACGCTTATCCTTCAGCAGGGACTGCAAAGTGCAAACCTTAATGTGGACACCAAATGCATCGGGCTAAATTTGTACCTCTTCGTTATTCTCGGGTCCATTCTCGACGACGCTCCACAGATCCTCGGACTCCAGATAGGCGCGCACTGTCATCGACCACGCTTTGTAATTGTCCAGACCTTTGAGCTTCTCAATTTGCAATTGCAGCGACATTCTGTCCAAGTTGTCGTCGTCTCCTCCAGCCCAGCGACTTTTTGCAAATAAATCGTTACGCCTTTCGGCTTGTCCACTTTCAACTGCTGTCTGCCAATTTACCTAGATTTTTAAATATAGATATGTAAGCATTTGTATGCCCACCTCTTTTGTCATCTATATGTGCCTGGCAAGGTCGGCTCGGCTCGGCTGTGCATAACCCAAACAATGGCCCCTAGACCTAGTTCTGCTGCTGCTGCTTCTGCTCGAATCAATGCCGCCTGGCTTTGGCATTGAGCTGAAGTGGACACGGACACTTCGAGCTGTGGTGTCTCCGACAAGTGTCCAATATTGATCCACGTTTCCAAATTGTGCCCTTATGTACAGCGGGTATTTTAGTTTTGTCACGCAATTTGTTGCCACTCAATTTAAATGGGTCTATTAATTTTCTGCAAAGCTATTAAAAAGAAGGAAGAAAAGAAGGATCGTCTGGATCCAATCGATCTGGGAAATGTATAAAATTTAGATTTAAAATTTGAAATATATATTCCCCTATATTTTTTCGCTATCTCGTTGCAATTTCGAAATATCAATAGAAATCGAATTATTTTTTTTAGTTAACCTCAAAAACGTTAAATCAATTTTTGTATTTAGGGTCTATAAGAGTCTAAACTAGAACATTTTGGTCTTTGGTTGCCTCCACTCCTGTCCCAATAAATTGAAAGAGCTCAATTTATGCCTTTTAAGTTTTATGAAGAGCTGACTTTGATTTCCCAATAGTTTGTGCCAGGAGTAATATATCTATAAGTATCTGCACAATCATTCTAGAATAAGATTTGAAGAATTCAAAGCGTTGACTAAAGGGTTACAGGGAATTTTGTAGTCGAGCACACTCGACTACAGCGTACTAACTTTTTGCTTTTCTTAGAAACATTTTACCAAACTCGGAAATATTAATGGAGCAGGAAGTAAGCACTCGAAATCATTTGATTGAGATTGATTTCCCAACTTAAGAATACCCTAGAAAGCTTGAACGTAGATTCCCAAATTGCAAACATTGCACTTTTTACTACTCAGTGCAATGATTCAGATTTCCAGTAAATGCGGGTCTTTATTTGAACTGCATGCTGGTGTATAAGCCGTTAGACTTCTACGAGTATAAGTATAAAAGTATAAGAGATTAAGTAGAATTCGAAGAGCAGTCGTTTTAAGGTACCTCAAATAGAATGCAGTTATATTCCAGCCTTCCAGCCAAACGCATGTAAAAGCTCCTTAAATAGAATGTATGACTTTTATGAATTCTTATCAGATTTATGTGTTTCTTTTGAATATCGTATTTTTTTTATATTAGTAATGCCCACATTTACTATAAATTATTTGTAATCCCAGTATTTCTACGCTTCTACAATACTAAGAAACTTTCAATAATTTATGCTCAATTTCTTTTTTTTTTAATATTTTTATTTGAAATGAATACGAATGTCAGTTTAGCTGTTGATTTTGTTGTTGTTGCCTTTAAGAACCGTGTTTTTCGTTAATAATTATGTATTTGCTGCTGCCAAATGCTTCGTGAACTTTCTGCTCGGCTTTTCACATCTGCCTTTGCACAAATATAAATACATACATACATGCGTACGTGTGTGTGTACATACATATACAATTTCGGCTCAGAGGCTTCTCATTGGCGGAAAATACAAGCGGAAAGTCTTCGAAAAGCATCGTGTTCGAAAAAAAAGGCTGTTCCAATTGGTTAATCAATTTGTTCGCCTGGTACGCAGCAACAAAGGGGGGGGAACACATAAACTTTTAAATGTTTTTGGGGTTTTTTCATATTTAGCTAAATAAAATTGTTGACGGTTAAATGCAAATATTTTGTCGCCGTTTGGTTTTTGGGGTTGGTTTTCACTTGGAAAAATTCGGAAATCTCTACAAATTACATAAGTGGTAGGCATAGAAAATATACAAGTACATACATACGAATGTATATATACTAAGATGTATACAATATATATTTATATATATGTGTACCATTTGTTTTTAGCAACTACAAATACTTTTCTTTTTAATAATTATATATATATTTATTTATATATATATATATATATATATATATGAAATGTTTGTGGCGAAGTGAATTAAAAAACGTTAAACAAACTCTTGTACATATAAAAAACACTAACGTAAACTGCGCTTAATTTTTATTTCCATGCGAGCAAGAAAGAGGTGAGAGAAATATAAGAGTAAAACGGGAAGAAAGCTCTTCTATTTGCATTATTTGTGATTGGCTGGCTGCACCGTGTATGCGTGTTCTTCGTACGTGTGTGTGTGTGTGTGTGTGTGTGTGAACAATACACTTACGTACATACAACTTTAAGCTTAATAATCCGTTTTACTTTTATTTCGTTCGAATTTCGCATTAACTAACATTCATTTTTCTCATTGTGATTTTGTTTTGTTTATATATTTCTGCTTGACTTTGCTTTTGTGTGTTTTTTGCTCATTTCGTTCTTACTTCACATTTGCTTTTTGTTTCGTATTAAATTAGATTTAATTGCTGCTGCTTTTTGTTACGGCATTTGCTTCTTTTACACATTTGTTACGTTACGCTTATGCTTGCTTCGCTTTAATTCAATTTGCGCTTATTCATTTTTTTCTTTCTTTCTTTTATTTTGTTTTTCTTTCGTTTTTGAGTGTTATTTCCTTTTAATTTACTTTCTTTAATTACTTTTATGACTGGCTTAAAATTAAAGTTGAAGTTATGTATCTTAACGTTTTCATGCTGATAAGATTGTTAAATGAATATTATGCCAACTTTCGGATGAAATTTACGTTTTGCTTACTTTGTGTGTGTGTGTGTGTGTGTGTGAGTTTTTGTGTGTGTGTTTGTGTGTTGTTTAGTTTGAAATGATTTTATTTTGTTTTTCGCTTCTCAGAATTAAATATAATATTTATTTAAATATAATATAATGCTTTTGTTTCTCGAATGCAAAAAATTTCAAATGTAGTAGTTGTTGCTGCTGTAGCTTTTGAAGGAGCCTGGGCAAAGAAGATTCGGATTCGCATTCGATGGATGACGGCGACGGCGGCTGCATCTCAATTCTCTAGTTCCCCAACAACAGCCACAGCCACAGCCTCAGCCACGCCCACGCCCACGATCGCCCCTTCAGTTTCGTGTTGCGCTTTTTGCTGTTGTATTTGTTGTTCTTGTTGTTGTTATATTTTCGTGTGTGTTTGTGTGTGTGTTTTTATGCTACTTGCTGCTGTTGTTGTTTTTGTTGCTGTTGTTGTTCTTCCTGTTCATGTTGTTGTTGTTGCTGCTGCTGCCCCTTTTTAGTAGTTGGTTGTCGCTTATCGTTGTTGCTGTTGATTCTTGTTGCCAGATGCTGTTCTTGTTGTTGTTGTTTTTTTTTTTAATTTTTGTTTACTACCCGGTTGCGTGTTGTTTTTATTGTTGTATGCATATATATTATATGTATTATATTTACTTTAGAAGGTATATGTTTTTGTTTTTGTTTTGTGTTTGTTTTTTTGTTTTGTTTTTTTTTTTTTTTTTTTAAATGGAAGGGCGGGGGTTTACTTAAATTACGACACATCCTGATCCTCAACATCCTGAATTTCCTGTTTGGGCTCGCCATCGCCTGTTGTGGAGTCTAGATACGAATACAGAAGCAAAGATTTTAGTTGCAATATAAATATATAAGAACGATTTGGATTGTTAGGGATTACACACCATCTGCCTGCATATCGGACGTCCATAATGTGAGGTTGTCCCGCAGAAGCTGCATAATCAGTGTCGAGTCTTTGTAGCTCTCTTCGCTTAGCGTATCCAACTCAGCGATGGCATCATCAAATGCGGCTTTCGCCAAGCGGCAAGCGCGATCCGGCGAATTGAGTATCTCATAGTAAAACACCTACGATTTGAACAACACATTTTAGTTTGATTTTCGATTAAATACTGACTGATTTCTTAGCGCGCTTACCGAGAAGTTCAAAGCCAGGCCCAAGCGTATGGGATGTGTTGGTGGCAGATCGTTCATGGCAATATCACTTGCTGCCTTATAGGCAATCAACGAATTCTCTGCAGCATCCTTACGGTCCGAACCGGTGGCGAATTCGGCCAAATAGCGATGATAATCGCCCTTCATCTTATAGTAGAATACTTTACTTTCGCCGGACGTGGCGCATGGAATGAGATGTTTCTCGAGCACATTTAGTATATCCGAGCAAATGTCGCGCAGCTCCTTTTCCACCTGACCACGATAGGTCTTGATCATTTCCAATTTCTCTTCGGCGCCCTTGTTCTCCTCCTTCTGTTCAATGGAGGTAATGATGCGCCACGAAGCTCGACGTGCTCCGATCACATTCTTATAGGCAACCGAGAGCAAATTACGCTCCTCAACGGTCAGCTCAACGTCCATGGAGGCGACCTTCTTCATGGCCTCGACCATTTCTGTAAAGGAGCGACAAGAGAGAAACATGTAAGCGCGTAAGAAATGATAACAACTTATGCATATTTTAAACTTAATAAATGTGCCAAAATTGATTAATAGCATAGTCGGAAAAATTCTTAGATATATTTATGACCGAGTTGCGCAATGCTTAATATTTGATAAGTAAAAAAAAAAAAATAGATTTCTATAACTCTTTACCTTAATTCCATAAGTATCCATTGTTTTTTTTTTCCTCTTTTTTGCATTTTCGTATTTATCTACAATTCTCTATAAACACACACAACCTCATACACTATCTATGAGTAGGAGGTGCACACTCTCCCAATATTTAATGGCATAACTTATCACAGTTAGGTACCAGCACGTATAGCTGTTTCCTGTGATCGAGTCTGCCCGTTTTAGACCGATTTTCTCATGGTGTTGATAACAACAACTGTTATGAAAAGTAACGCCTGCCAGACACATTGTTGCACATTCCCAACACTGGCTGGCAACGGCGTCATCGCACTAAAAGCGCGTCATGAATCACATGCATTTGCAGTGACTCTGAATTCGATCGAATGACAGCTGCAACTTACAAGTCGCCGTTATTTTAGTGTGCGTGTTGATAACAGGCCAACTGATACACATACAAAACACCCACACACATACACACACAACAATTTGTAGCACACATTGAGGCAAATCAGTGCTAAATAGCACTGTATCATTTTTACTTTGCCTGCAATTCAATTTGTTCTCTCTCTCTCTCTCACTCTCCCGCAGCAGGCTGCTGACGTATATGCGTGCGTTTGTATGAGTGCGCCGCCCCTTCGTACCCCTCACACTTATAAGTTAAAACAGCGGGAGCTTTGTTATTCGAATATATATATATAAATATATACATATATATAGCTGCAGCACGTAGCTGTGAAAATTGGAATAAAGTTGGCCGTGTGATTCACGGTGCTCAATTTAGTAGCAGCATCTCGTTGTTGCTGCTTTACGGTGAACTTCAAATTGTTGTTTGGCAATGGCACACAATTGCAATGCATTTTGCAACACTGCGTCAGCGTACACAGCGTCGACAAACAGTATTAATAGGGTTGCCATAAACAGACAAATTTCGAAATTCATAGTTCGATTGCACCTGTTCAATTTTTAACAAATAAAAGCTTCGCTAAGACATCATTAAAAACTGCCAACAGAACAGCACATTAATAACAAGGCCAAAATATATATTAATCAAACGAAATTCCCACGGCATGACAAACCCAAAGGTGCCGAAAAGATACGCCGCAAAGACAAAGTCAACAGCCCAAAGTAGACAAAATTATAGCGACACCCAACCTCTTCGAGCAGCACCCACCCACACATGCACATATACCCCACACCTATATAGAGCCAGAACGCGTCACACCAAAGTATTGTAAAAATTGTTGAAGGAATTTAAGACGCTTTTGACAAAGGAAGGTAGGATTCGTCTGCACCTTGAGCAGACGTCTTTTTTCGTGGGCGTGTCAACACACATAAATTATGCTCATACATATATACAGAATACATACAAACAAATTTACATACAGGCAAAGCCAATTTATATATATATATATACATGCGTATATGTGCGTACGTATGCATGTGTTTGGTTATTAGCGTGCCGTTACTTGCCAATACTTTCCGTTAGGAAAGTGTAATTACGCAAGCAAACTAAAAAATACGCCAGTCAAATCTGTAACATTTTGTAGCTTTTCCTGTATTCTCTCTCTGTTTTCCATTGACGACATTAAGCTGAACGCCAAATAAAAAACATGCACGGCAGCGACCTCGAAAAAAAAAGTAGCTAGAATAAGCGGGAGCAGCAGCAGCAGCAGCAGCAATCAGCACCTGAAAGCACACTCAAAGGCTAGCTACCGCCACTGACGTTAATATGTATGGTGGTGGGGGGCAAGGAGGCGTTCGAGGGGTTGGCATTGTGAAGGCGAAGCAGAGGCAGGAGAGGGGCTAGAGGCAGTCACCCAGACGTTGCCGGCTGCCTGGAATGCATTTGTATTAGTCTCTCCAGCATGACCAAAGCTGTCCAAGTGCGACAAGGCCAACGCCAAGAGCTCGCACAAATACACAGACGAATACAGTTTGGAGCTCACGCAGGCGAAAATAAGAAGAAAAACATGTGATACAGACTTTAACGTTCACGTGTATGTGTGTGCCCGCAGTAGCTGCTAATAGTTGATTGACTTCTTTGGAGCGCCGTTGCTTGGGCAACAAGAGGAAGGGAGATAAAAATGCCGCCTGCCTGTGTTAAGTGTTGTCTGTTTTCCTGGCAATTGCCAGCAGAATTGTTAGTTGTAATTATTACTATTAATGCTTAGTCCAAATACAACAAACATTAGCAAACTTCTAACCGTCACTGTGTATTGGGACAGAAAAGGCATCCGCGTCTGTGTGTTTGCAACACTCTAGTTATCTCGTTTTAACGCACACGGCAACGCATTTGAGCAGTGTCGTCGAGCGCGCGCGCTTTTTAGTCAAATGCTAGAAACGCTGGTTTGCTGTCTAGTGCTTTGCATTTTGAGCAGCCGCAGCATTTTAATTAATTGAAGTATTTTTAATTAAATAAGCAGCCAGCAACAATACAATTTCCGACTGTGATGGTGTGAGTAGTTAAGATAGTAGCGGTGAGCGTGCGTGCGTATGCCTCTCAGAGGCACACACACACATACATACATATGTATGTACATACATACATACACATGCGCACAAAAGCATGAGTAATGCTAGTGCAAAATTTTTTTTTCTTTCTGCACTATCAGGCAGAGTTGCCTGCCCTTAAATGCGAGAAAATTCTTTTACAAATAAAAAAAAATTAATAAAATGCGCAACTTATTTGCATAAAAACCAAATAAAAGAAAATATTTGAAAAGTCTGGCTGCAGTCGCCGATCGTTTCGTTTCTTCAGCGACTAACTTTTGCGCCAGTCACACAATCGATTCATTCATCGATTTTTCGCAGCACGGCATGATGACGACGTCGCCGCCGCCTTGCTGCTGCGCAACAAAAGCACATTTTGAGTGGCGATTAAATTGAGCGAAAGGAACAAGAGAACAAGAAAACGTTATGGGCGCCCCTCTCGCGGAGGGCCAACTGTTAACATATTTGGAATATCCATTAAATGATGTTGCTTCTAAACGCAGTTAAGGATTTTCCTTAGAAATAGTTTGACTTGGCAACACAAAAGTTTTTACAAAAACAGCCCTTAGCAACGATGTCATTTCCCCCGCCAACGCGCAGCCCCCCCCCTGCACGCCTATCAACGAGCACTAAATACACAAAATTTCAACTTGAAAATCCCCCCCCCCCCCCCCCCCCCTCCATCCTATAAATTTTCTTTAGAGTTCAGTACCTACATATACAAATGTACATATAATATAATACGCAACAAAACTTGGGTTTTTGCAAAAGCCAACTCAATAACGAAAACCACGCGAATTTTTGCCGGTAAAAATCAGGTTTGTTTTACATTTTTCTTTTTCCAGTCTTTCTTTGCCTTTTCTACAGCGCCGCCTCGCCTGCTCGTCATCTTTTTTATTCGGTATTCGGTCTTTTCGCAGAAACACCACACTCATCGGCTGCGGCGACGCCGCCGACTCGACGCTTCTGACGAAAGCCATTGGCAGCGGGGCGCACCTACACACAAATGTCTGCAAAATTAATAATGCCTACTTTTTTTTTTCTTTTTTTTCACCCGCTGTATAAATTTGTGGACATTTTGAGCAATTTTCGACGTAGCGCAGGCCACGCGACGAGCATGGAACTGGACCCCTCCCCAAAAGTTGGCGCTCCGCTGACAAAAAAAAAAAATTTTTTTTCCTCGCCCCGTTTTTTTCGTACTCACCATCGTAGCGCTCGGCCTGTTCGGCCAATTTTGCCTTGTAGACGTTGTTTTCACGTTCAGTCATTGTGTTTAAATCCTTTTTAGTAAAATTAATCCACAGAAAAAATTATTTTAAATGCTCCCGGTACGTGCGGCGTCGATTATGCTGCTGCTGTCTTCGTCGCCTTCTTTTTCTCTACTGCTTTTTGAGTTGACAAGCGCTCTGCTTAGCTCACTCGCACGCTCGGTTCGGCTGCCGTTCCGTTTTCAATGTCGTCGTGGACGCTACACGAATCTGCGAGTACAGTAAAGAACGTTTGGGGGTAAAATGAATAATTGATACACTGAGAGCGAGCCTGCGTCGTTAAAGTTTTTCAGTTTATAAAACTATTTATAATTTTAACTGTCTTTACACACACACTGACACTAGACGAGGTTAATTTGAATTATTTGATTGATTTTCAAACGCTTACTTCGTCGTCGGTATCTCAAAAATGTCTCTGAGAATGAGAGGCAGAGGCGCGGCAAAAAAAGATGGCTCTTGAATGGCGCTGCACGATATATCGCTGAGTATCGATAAGCGCAGGCTAACGTTCGATAAACATCGTACCTATGTCTCAGCACAGCAACAAAATTACAACACTGCGTTTACAAAAATCTTCATTTTTTCTTGAACAGAGGCGGGAAGTTAAGATATTTACTGGGACGTAAAGATAATTGTTACTTATCGTTTAGAACGGCCTTTGTAAAGGTATTAAATTGCATTGATAAGGATCAATTGTGTTTGGGCTAAGTATGCTAGAGATAGCGATAGTTGTGGCACTATCGATCATGTACGCTGAGTATGTCGTAACAGCAATTGCCGTCATAAATACCAAAACGGAAATTATAAGATATTTAGCAGTTTGCTTATACGATATTAGGTTTTCTCAACCATATTTGCGCGATAGTCCATCACGAATTGCAGGGCTGCCCATTTAAATTCGAGCCTAAAGTAATCGTTCATTTCCAAAATTTGTATATTTTATTGCGAAGTTATGTTTAAACAATTGCAGTACAAATTGTATAGGCACATTGGCACATTTTAATATAAAGCCTCTCAGCCTTTTAATTGCATTTTAAATATTGCCGAATGTTAACATTTTCGAAAATGTTAAATTTCAAATTCTGTTATTGTTAGCTGTTATGCCTCCTACCCATCCGTCAAGTTAAAGGGAACGAAAACATGTCTTAAAATATGTAAGGAAAACGCGAAAACATAATTTGAAGAAATGAAAAGCATGAAACAACAAAAGGTAGGATGATGCGTTTCACTCCCACCACAAATTATAATATACATTTTTAGAAGTCAGTTAACGGCCACAAGGAAACCAATTCAGTTTTTACAGTAATATTTTGTTTCTATCGCTAAACCAAATCGGGCTCATCTTTAAGGGGACCTCATCTAAAATGGCCCTCAATTTGGGAGGCTGGATACACAGTTTTACAGTGACCGACACGCAACAGCACAAAGGAGGCTACACTATTTACAAGATTACATCGATTGTAAGTGCAATTGTACCTTATGAAATATTGAACTAATTGGTGCGCACAACAATTTAAGGTCTTTCCCCGCTCGGTGCCGCAGGCATTGACCTGCCTGGTTGTATGGAAACGGTTTCATGAGATCAAGCGGCTCCACAGGGAGCTCAGTCGCCGGCACAAGAGCATGCAGCTGCCGGGCAAGTTGCCGGAGCCAACCGACAGCAGCTACTTCAAGCGTTTCGATGCGGATGTGATACAACGACGCAAGGACTATATACTATTACTGCTGGACTTTGCTGCGCAGCATCCAGCGCTGTACAAGTGCAACACTTTCACGCAGTTCTTTAGCGAAGCGCAATCGCCAAATGCATCGCCGCTGCGCAAATTGTATGTGGAGCGCTCGCTCAAGTTGCCGGGCAGCGGGGCCATAGCTGAAATACGCGATAAACTCGATTTGAACTACGATCCGCAAGACACATTGCCAAGCGCAGATAGCGAGGCAAATCAGCAGCCGCAGCATGATACGAGCATTGAGGCAAAGGAGAAACCGTCTAAGCGCGACTACACACGCCTACTCACGCCCATGGCTTCCGTGGAGAGCGAGGATAGCGATTACATCTATGAGGCCGCCTTGGAGTTCAGTCATGCCGTGCAGTCGGAAGTTAATCTGGAGTATGAAGACGCCCATAAGCGTTACAAGCGGGGCGTGGAGCTGTTGCTCGTGGGCGCCAAGCATGATGCCAACGAGGATCGCAAGTTTATAGCCAAGGCCAAGATAGCCAAGTATTTGGCGCGAGCCGATGATATCTATGCTAACTTCTTGAGCTCCGACGCCGTCTGTAACAGACATGGTAAAAGAAAACTGCAGTTTCAGCTCTCGCTGGACGAGACGGACAACGTGTCGCAGCTGGAATGTCCCTGGAATCAGTTGGCCAAGTACAAGGTGCTGCAAGTGCTGGGCGAACGTGTCATGCAGGTGCAGTGCATCACACAGCCGCTGTCGCAGCCCGCGGCTGTCATGAAGGGCATCGAGAAGCCAGCGAGCAATTCGCCAACCCAAAGCATCTTTTTGCCACAGCGTGTACCTTATATGTGCCAACTGCTGGCCTACTTTCAGTCGGACCAGAAGATTTTCCTGTTGCTCAAGCAGGCGGAGGGCGGCCGTCTCTTTGACTATATACAATGCTACACGCCCACCGCCAGCAAGTGCGGCGACTTGGCCGATCTATTCCCAGCGGAGCAGCCCCTCACGACGGACAGCGATGTCACCGACTTGCTGCGCAATTCACAGCAGCTGCTCAGGTCCGTCTCGCATACGCTGAGCACCTTGCAGGCGGGCACGCTCACACCCCGGCGACTGAATACCGGAGCCAAGCGTCTGCCCGAGGTGTGCCTGCGTCAGTGGGCATGCGAGCTGGCCGTGGCTGTGCACAGTCTGCACGGCAAGGGTGTTATATTGCGCGATCTGCACATGGAGAACATTTTGCTCGGGAATTCGGGTCAATTAATGCTTACGTATTTCTATCAGAACGAGGGCCTCAGCTCCGATGACAACTACGTGCACAAGGCGCTAAGTTTGGCAGCACTCAACGATCATTTTGTGGCGCCGGAGCGACCTCTAACATTTCGCTCAGATTGGTGGAGCTATGGCATGGTGCTCTACCAGCTGCTCCTGGGTGTGGTAAGCTGCCGTATAAAAAGTCGGTTTTATTTAATTATGCTAATTGGCATCTCTTTGCAGTCCTACAAGTCGATGCATCCTGGCCAGCTGGAGCTCTATGGCTGTGTGCAATATCCATCGGATGCGCTGGACATTTCGGATAATGCCCGGGATTTGCTGGAGCAACTGCTTCAACTGTCCCCGGAGCTGCGCCTGGACTACGAGCAACTGCAGGCGCATCCGTTTTTTGAGGGCATCGATTGGCAGAAAGTTCGGGAGCAAGGCAAAACTTAATCCTAGATTAAAGTTAGTCAATTCAAGAGGGCTTTAATAATCTTGTTAAAAGTCTGATATGAAATGTGAAACACAAAAGAACGTACGTTCCACATAATTATCCAAAAAGAAGAGTCTCAAAATATTATTTGTTTTTTTGTTTGTTTTGTTTTCTGTTGATTGTTTCGTTTTCACTTGTTTGGTACAAAATATGTTACTTTATTCATTAATATAATTGTATTATTAATATCTCTATGTATATATACATTGCAAATTGTAAGTGTATTTAATTCTAGGAAAAAGAGCTATACTTATATTTATGAAAACTTGAAGCAGCTAAAAACTCGAAATTACAAAAGTATGATGCATACACGCATAAGTATTAACATTTTTTTTTTTTTTTGTAAAGACCATAAGCTAATTATACAAACATACAAACACTTTATTGTCTAACTACACAACAGTTTTTGATATACATCAATTTATACATACAACTAGGCGATTAATTATTGGGCCAGAGTTGAGACAAAACCCAATTGGAGTTTGCCTCATGCTGCTGGTCGCTGCTAGTAAGGCACATTTGGAATGCATTCCGTACGTGTTGGCCAATGTAAATAGCCAACAGTTTGTTTTTTTTGGTGGAAACTAAGACTAATAAAGTAGCATTAAGTTGTGGCAAGACTTGTCGATTTTGTTGTTGTCGATCAACTAAACTACGCTTAAATGTAACAAGGAACCAATGCCAACAACACTGGCTGTGATCCACATTTTCTATATATTTGGCATTTTCTAGCACTGTTTGACTGTTTGAAATGCTGCACACGCACGCAAAAAAAAAAAAAAACTCAAAATGGCCGCTTAAAGCGTGCTGCTGCTGCGCAGCCACTGGCAGAGGCAGAGCGTCGCTGCTGCCGATCCACATGAAATGCAGCGCACACACACACACACACGCATGCAAAGGCATGCATAAGAAACTTAAAATGGCCGCTTAAAGCGCGCTGCTGCTGCGTAGACGCTGGCAGAGGCAAAGGCAGCGACAGAGGCAGAGCGTCGCTGCTGCCGACGTCGATGTGTGAGCATTTCTCTTAGTTCAAAAAAGGCGGCAGGACATAGCTTTGCGCCTGTTGCTGCTGCTGTTGCTGCTGCTGCTGCTGCACAGCAACTCCTCCTGCATCCTCGCTCTTGATCACAGTATGCAGGGCGCTGTCGTTGTCCTCGCTGCCGGATGCCGCTGCCGCCGCCGCCACGGCGCTGACATAATGATGCGCATCCATGTGGCAGGCGGCGCCGTTATCCTCCAGGCCCGTTGGCGGCTGGCACTGCACCTGGACATACTTGGCCTCCTCGGCGCTGAGATACTTGCCATTAAGCTGCTGATGCACTGTTATCAGCTGGGTGCTGCCGGAACCGTCCAGGTGCTGCTGCTGTTGCTGCTGCTGCTGCTGCTGCTGCTGCTGCAGATCTGTCGTCTGGTAACCGTTGCCCGCTTCAGCTGCCTCCGCATTGCCGCTGGCTGTGCCGCCGGCGCCGTTCATCTCGATGCGTGGCGGGCTGCCGTAGTCAAAGTGGCGTATGGGAAAGAGCTGGCTCTCGTGCACGTAGGTGCCGTACTGGCCGGAATAAGTGCCGTAGGGACTGGCCGCCGGCGACAGCAGGCTGAACTGTGGACTCAGCTCGTAGGGCGTCTGATAGCTGGTCCAGCTGTCCATGCTGCCCGGCGGCGTGACCGTTGTCGTCTGCGGGAAACTGGCAAACGGCGGCGCCAATGTGCTATTCAGTGCCGCCGTCGGCGGCGTATTCGTCTTGATGTAGCCCGTCTTCCGGGGTGGCTCGTGCTTGCGCCACTTGGCCCGCCGGTTCTGGAACCAAACCTGCACCCGGGACTCGCTCAGATTCAGCTTGATCGCCAGCTCCTCGCGCGCAAACACATCCGGATACGGTGCACGCTCAAAAGCACGCTCCAATTCCTCCAGCTGATAAGCCGTGAACGTAGTTCTGCAAATGCATACAACGAGAACATAAATATGGTAAATTTTAAATGTGCGCGCGCTTGAGTTTTAACTGTTTTCCAAATAACTAAGTGTTGTAAAAGGCTTGTGGCGATCTGGCATCACAGAAATTGATGCAATTCAGGTGTTTTTGTTTTCGACAAGTTTGGTTACACTAATTTTGACTATTCAAAATATAACGGTAAGTATTTACAACTTCTTCTAGCTCGAGCTCTCTAGGCTTCACTTTTTTGGTGTATAAATCAACTATTGCTAAAAGAATGTTTTGTAGCTTAGATGAAAGAACTGCCATCTATAGTTTTCAAGTGAAATATTCCTTTTTAACAGCTCAAGACAGGGCTTTCTAAAATCAGCTTTGAATATATTCGACATGCTATGAGAATATCATAATATAATATAATAACATATAATACATATATTTGCAAGTGCTTGGTTTAAAAAACGAATTGACGCATTCTTTTCTTGAAAACTTTTCTTGGAGAGAGTGCTGGATCAAATCTGTAGCATTTAGAAATGTTTAAATTGCAAAAGCTGACGTTTACAAATGTTATTCATGATAATTTATAATTCAAGCCGATAACTTGGTAATTCTATCATAGAGGAGAATTCATAAATGTATTACTAATTCATTAGATTATCAGAAAATTGAAAACTATAAAGCTTTCAGTTTATTACGGAGTTTCTGATAAGTTTTGCTCTCAAAATATGCCACAGATCTTTTATCTGACTTTATGAAAATTCAAATAAAATATCTACAAAAAAGGAACATTTTTTTCTCTATGCAGAATTATTGTACCTCCCGCAGTTTGATGTGCAACAAAAATATTAAGCATACGCCCCGTTGTGCGTATATAAATTGGCAGATAATTTCATTGATTTCCCGTCGTTAAGCTAATTGGAAATTGTCGCTTACCTCGTTTTCTTCTTTTTGATGCCATTCGGATCGCCCTTCTTCTTGTTGTTGTTGTCCTTTTTGGGAGCTGACGCAGCGACGCCGACGCCGACGCCAGCGCCAGCGCCGCCAGCAGCAGCAGCTGAAACCGAGGAATTATTGGTCACACTGTTATTATTGTTGTTGTTGTTGTTGTTGCTGTTGCTGCCGCTGCTCCCGCTGCTGTTGGCATTTCCATTGGCGATGCCGTTGGGCGTTGACGATCCGTTCTCCAGCTGGACGCACATCTCCTCCGGCTTCTTGTGCTTGCCGCCGGAGGTGCTGCCGAGCAACAGTCCGTCCGGCAGTCCGTTGCCATTGCCGGCATCCTCATGCACATGGGCGTGGCTATGATGCGGACTGCCGCCGTACAGATGCTGCTGCTGCTGCTGCTGCTGCAGCTGAACGTGCTGATGCTGCGGCTCATACGGATCCTTGGGCGAGTAGTCCAGCTTGCTGTTCAACGTATGATAGTCGCCCATGATCCCCACCAGCTGCTGCTGCTGCTGTTGGTTGGGCTTATGCTGCAGCATGCCATTGTGTGCATTGTGGGCGTGGGAGAGCGGAGGCGGCGGCGTTACGGCGTAATGCTGATGATGTTGCTGGGGCTGCTGCTGCTGCTCGACCAGCTTCTGGGGCGTTGTTATATACTCATATTTTTGGCTGGGCGAAAAGCAGCCCATCTTGTTGCCAAAGTCCATTTTCTGAGCATAGTTTGGCGAGCCCGAGCCGCCCCCTCCCCCATTCGGGAGTATGGTATTGCAATCGGGCAATCGCTGCTGCTGCTGCTGCTGCTGGCTGCAGAGCTCGTGAACGACGCTGCCGAGCATGACAGGATGCAGGCTGCTGTGCTGGACCGTTGCCGTGGAGGTCGGCAGCAGGGGTTTGCTGGCGCCCAGTGGACTTAGTGGGCCGCTGCTGAAGTCCCCGAAGATCTGATCATCGAAGCTGGCGTGCTCCATTTCAAAGGGCACACACACACACTAACACACACACTAACACACACAATTAAACCGTTACGCACTCGTTAGTTTGTTTTAGCGTTAATCCATTTAGTTGTTAATCAAAGTGCGCGCGAAGCCAAAATCAAAATCAAAATCAATTGCCGCTGCACGCTAATTGTTGTAAATGAATTAATTGCATTTAGTTTTTGGCGCACGCGCAAAACCATTTGCCGCTCCTTTCGATACAAAAACCAACCCAGCTCCGGGCACGATCAACCGTTCGAGTCTGTGACTGTGGCCTTAATTGAGCACACAAGTCGCGATGATTGCCCTTTTATACCAATTCGCTAGCAGCGACGCAGCGCAGCCGGTATCGACCAATCAGCGGCGAGCAATGGCTGCTGTCGCCGCAACAGCGCGGCGGCAGAGCGAGAGCGAGTGCGAGAGAGAGAGAGAGAGACGTCGCCTCTGCGTGTATTTGTTTGTGTTTGGCCATTATGCTGGCGCGTGTGACTTTTTGCTTTTGCCTTTGCAATTGTGGGGTGTGGTTTTTGTTTTGCCCTGAGAATCGGCTCGCCTTCAGTTTGTGACGTTTGGCAGCGGGTTGTCGAGTGCGTTTATTTCCCCATAGCGCTGCCAGCAGATCGGTTGACAGGAGCGGCATGTCCTGGGAAATTTCGTGTCAAGTATTTGGAACTCTCTAACAGCTTTTGGGTAATTCTTAGCAGAAGCTCTTAACATTAACTATATGGTTCACAATAGATCTAGCAAAACTCTTATTTGTTTTCTATTTCTTGTTCTTAAACTGATTCGCTTGCTTAAATTTATTTATTGTATTGGATTTACAATTGTGTCTCGTTTTTTTTTCTTTCGAAAATTCCCCTGCTTTCATGTTAGGCAGCTTTTGGGTAATTTTTAACAGCAGCTCATAACATTAACTTAATTGTTCACAATAGATCTGCAAAACTCTTATTTGTTTCTATTTCATGTTCTTAAACTGATTCGCTTGTTTATTGTGTTGGACTTACAATTGTAATTATCTCGTTTACTTTTTTTGATATTGAATTATCTATAACCTGCCTGCATGTGCGCAAATGTTTCGCTTTCGATTAGCTTTGGCCAGCACGAATCCCTCTACATGCTTATTAGCATACACTTTTACACTCAAATCCAATTGGAATTGTCTCACGCCATACGATCGCATGAGGGTCTCGTTATTGTTGCTGGAATTTTTACAACCACCAAAACCTCAAGGATCGCAACCTTCTTCACTTTTTTTTTTTTTGCTGCGCGTGGCACCCTCACCCTCGCCCTTAGGCTGAACTGCACTGAACCTCACCCTCCGGAGGTTGGCGTGCGCGACCTTTTGGCCAAATGCTGGTACTGGTACACGCGAGGGCTAGAAAAGTTATGGGTCGCTGAGATGGTATTTAAGATTTCACATCAAGACTTTGGCTGGTGAAAATGAATGGGCAGAGGGTGGGCGAAAAGATTCGGAGAGATGCGAACTCACTGAAAAGGGAAATTTAAAAAGTTCAGATAAGCTTTCAAATATACTTAAGCGGCTGTTTTTGATTGGTGTTAAAATATCCCTTTTTTATATATCCCAACATTCTTAGTTGTCAAAACTATTCCCTACCTTTAAAGTGAACCCATTCCAGCTATTCCTCATTCTACCAACTATTGCTATTATAATTCGTACTAGATTTCCACTCAAACTCTTATCTAAGATATTCTCAGCATTTATTGCTAATCAAACCACGCCAGCCAATATTATTACTGCTGTGCATTAGACAAAACTGATGCCCGCATTGACCTTGCCAAAGGAACAATAACTTGCACCCAGTTTCTTCCCAGGATCAACATACCAAATTTCCCATCGAATTTCGCACAAACAACAGGAAAATCTCACAGCAAACAATTTGATACTTTCGGTCGCCCTATGTGGCCATATACGAGGGATTTGTCTTGCGCAGGTTCCAAAATGCGGGCAGCGGAAACGGAATTGGAATTGGTATTGGAAGCGAGAATGGGAAATGCGCACGCGATCGGCGCAGAGCAAAAGAAACAACAACTCACCCCACATTCGGGGCAGAGATGAGATGATGCGACCCGGCCGTAGTCCGGACGTTTGCGTGTGAATAATCGGACAAAATTTGGTGTTTTTTTTTTTTTTTTTTTTGCATTGCGATTGCGGCATTTATGTGGGCCCTGTTTTGGCTATGGTGCGGGACAATCCTCGGTCGGGTCTGGGGAGGGGCTGACTTGAGGCTGGGAGGGTTAAGAAAAGTCAACGAGGCTAGCATCTGCACGAGATCAAAAGTCAAAAGGACATGGACAAAGCTAATAGTTATAGAAGATCTTGCTGATAGTTTCTAAATGGAAGAGTACGATTTTATCTTAATTATGTAAATAAAGCTGACTTCTGGGAGAGGTCATGGAATGAGGATCAGGTCAGGGAAGTCAACTTTTACAAAAATAAAAATAATATTTAAAAACTATTATTTAGAATAATAATCTAATAGGCAATAGCTTTTTGACTACGATTACATTTGATGCGGTGAAAATTCTCTTGGTTAGCCTGCGAACGCCGGGTAATTTGTGTCTTAAGAGAAGAGAATTCACCTAATGGAAAGGGAATGGATTTCGCTTGCTGCTTTATGGAATTTGACGAGTGACTGTCCGTCTAAGAGGGCTGTCCGTTTTGAGATCAAATACGGATTTAGTTCAAATAAAGATTTGCTCTTTGGGTTTCTTCAACAAATAAAAAATTTGGTACAGTTTGCCACACAAAGCAAAACGCGCTGCCTAAGCTTTGTTGAATGTGATTGCGAGAACTTTTCATATTTTTTTTCCATCACCATTAAGATACACACACACACACACACACACACACACACACACACACACACACACAGAGAGAGAGACACGTCGCACTTGTTTTGAGCCCAGTGACAGTCACTCCACAGCATCATCATCATCATCATCATCATCATTATCATCATCATCATTCGGCAGCATTCCCATCCTCCAGTGGAATATTATCACATTGTATTACGATATACGGTACATTTGTTTTTGCTTTTCGTTATGCACTTCCAGACATACCTACACACAAGCACACATACATACATACATACATATATACATACATATGTATGTGTGCTGCTCGTACGCGATTGTGATCTGCGCAACGAAATTCCAATATGGCGTGCACGCTGGCACACGCACACACACACACACACATGTATGCATGTCGTGTGCATGTTTATAGTGTCAGAGTCCAGAGCTGGGCAAAGCAGTTCACCAATACAGACGCATTCAATTAAGCTTCGTTAAGATCAATTTAAAATCCCGCATAAAATATCAAATAGTTTTTGTACTTTAGTTCCATTTCTGCTGTCGCTATTTGTTGTCGACTGTGTCGGGCAGACACTCTCCGAGCCAGACCCCAGCTCTGGGCAACAGCAACAACATTTCGAAATCCATACACAGCCCACGGTACGAGACAATGTCTCCAAGTCCAAGTCGGGCACCGCCATGACAAAGATGTATAGTTTTTCATATTTCGTTAATTCTCTATGGCACTTGGGGTTCTTCACTTGCCCACTTGTTGCCCACTTCACCCAACCCCCCTTTAGCGCTTTACATGATGATGAGGCACTCGGCAGGCAGGCCAGCTCCAGCTCGAGCTCGATAGCAACGGATGTGCGAACGTATCTGACATCTGACCCGGCCCCTGATCACGAGCTATACGAGTATTTACAGTCAACGATCAAACGATCTTGGTAGATCAACATTTTTAGTTCAAAGTTCTTACAAGACCAAATAACTTTTTTGTTAAAATGGGCTTATGATTAAAGCATATTCATATATCTCTTTATTTATTTTGATATAATGCATAATTTTAAGAGTAGAAAAGACATAAATTGAATAAAATTAATAAGTCTGCATTGGTTCTAACTGCTGCTAACTAAAATGATTCACAATAGTCACATTCGGATGCAGCTTTCTTATTAGAATTCGGGCTAAAATAAGTTGAGAAAGGGTTTCGCTTTCCATGATAACGTTTTAATGGAAATAATTATTAAGAATTTCATCTTTCGCATAACTTTTTTAGAAAAACTCGTACTGGAACTGGTTTTTGCTCTTTGAAATCCTAACTTTAAACAAAATGGTAGACTTATGACTTCCGGTTGTGCAGATATTTTGACTGTCGTCAAGATAACATAGACATTCTGTTAAACATAACATTTTTCCATACCGATTCTTCTATTGATATGATGTATTAGTTCGATGTGTTTATGATGTGGCTTATATATAAGTTATTCTATAATCAAACAAAGGAATCGATCTTAAGAAGATCTATATATGATATAAGGGCTTAAGTCGGTCGATTTCGATATAAGTACTGCTTGAACAACTAAGTTAAGTTTCATTACTTTAAAACCGAGAGACTAGTTTTCAAAGAAACAGAAAAACTGTATCGACTTGGATATTGATACTGATTAAGAATAATTAAGAATATATATAGTGTATAAAAGAATAATTTAGAACATATAAGATATATATATATAAGGTATATATATTCTTAAGCATTCTTAATCAGGCATCTTTTCATTAACACAGCATATTCTAAGGAATATCTTCTCAGGCTAGGCAGAGTGTATTCATAAGTTTATCTGATGATTGATATATCGAAGACGTAGTCAAAGTAATCATCGAAGCTGATAAAGCTTCATAAGCTGATCTCTCTACATGATCTCTTTTGATTATTGGCATTTGATTCCGGGCCGTAATATTGCTAATATCATAGCCGTACGTGTAATGGATTGTCTTGAACTGAGCCGAATACTGAGTACAAGTGTTTAATTGTGTTTTTGTGCGCTTTTAACCCAATTATTGGTTGCTCGACAAAATGGAACAGATACAACTTAATGCAATCAGAGTGAAAGTGAGAAGACGCCAATAAATTAAATCCAATCAGAATCGCGTATAGAGCTCAAATGTATAAAGATGACAACCACTTCGTTTGGCTTTGGCCCTTGTAATTGGCTCTGGGTCGGAGACGGCTCGGCTCGCAAAAATCCCAACGCAGCGCGCGTAATTCAAATTAATTGCCGACAATTGTGACTTATTTCAGCCAAAAGGCGCCATTTAATGTAGTGCAACGTGGACGGGGTAACAGACGGCGTCTGCCACTGATAACTTAAACAGCGCGATTATCGCAGCGACTGAAGAATTACGTAATTGGGATCAATAATAAAGCAGTGCAGAATTAAGTACTGTGCACAACTAACTACACAAAAGTGTGTGCACACATATGTATGTCAACAGAAATTGCAATGTTAACGAAACATCGTATTGGTTAAGAATACGTAATTGGGATCAATAATAAAGCAGTGCAGAATTAAGCACTTTGCACAACTAACTCTACAAATCTGTATGTCAACAGAAATTGCAATGTTAACGAAACATCGTATTGGCTAAGAATTACGTAATTGGGATCAATAATAAAGCAGTGCAGTATTAAGTAATGTAAATGTAAAAAAGTGTGTACACACATCCGTATGTCAACAGAAATTGCAATGTAAACGAAACATCGTATTGGTAAGAATTACGTAATTGGGATCAATAATAAAGCAGTGCAGTACTAAGAATGTAAATGTACAAGTGTGTACACTCATCCGGATGTCAACAGAAATTGCAATGTTAACGTAAATCGTATTGGTAAGATTTACGTAATTGGGATCAACAATAAAGCAGTGTAGTATTAAGTAATGTAAATGTAAAAAAGTGTGTACACATATCCGTATGTCAACAGAAATGGCAACGTTAACGAAACATCGTACTAGTGAAAAATACGTAATATGGATCAATAATAAAGCAGTGCAGAATTAAGTACTGTGCAAAAAAAACTGTACAAATCTGTATGTCAACAGAAATTGCATTGTTTACAAAAAATCGTATTAGGGAAAAATTACGTAATTGGGATCAATAATAAAGCAGTGCAGTATTAAGAATGTAAATGTACAAGTGTGTACACTCATCCGGATGTCAACAGAAATGGCAATGTTAACGAAACATCGTATTGGTAAGATTTACGTAATTGAAATCAACAATAAAGCAGTACAGTATTAAGTAATGTAAATGTACAAGTGTGTACACTCATCCGGATGTCAACAGAAATTGCAATGTTAACGAAAAATCGTATTGGTAAGATTTACGTGATTGGGATCAACAATAAAGCAGTGTAGTGTTAAGTAATGCGAATGTACAACGATAATCGTATTAGTGATCGATCGATATCGATATCGATAGGCTTAACTGTCTGGCAATATTTGAGCTGTTGGTTAAACGTTTTATGCATGAATTGAATAAACAAATTATGTTTGGAGTGTCGCTGATCCTAATTTATAATTGAGTTTATGGCACTTTTTGTCGCTGTGGGCGTCGCATATCGTTTTTGGCTGACATCGGCCAATGTGTGTGCGTTCGGCTTAATTGTTTGTAATTAAATAAAATTGTACAAGGTCGCTTACAAACTCACAAACTGACATTGGAAAATCCATGGCTACCAATTCGTTTTAATATAGTAGCACAATAAGTAAATGAAAAATGCCGGCCGGCCGGCAAAATTGTATTTGTTTTGTATAGTACGAGTCTGAAATTGATTCCTGCTCATTATTTCATTAAGAACAGAGCGTTCCAATTGGCCACACTCGGCCCATTCAGCTGGAGACATGGAGACGTTGTCGTCGACGTCATCATGTTTGAGCGCTCTGTGATTTTTGCCTGCATTTCGATCTGATTTTATGAATGAAATTGTATCAATTGATTGTTTTGCTGCTGTTATCGTTGCCTTTTGATCGTCGATAATTAAGTTGGGGGCGTGTGTGCCTTGTTTACCAGTCTCCCTCTTTCTGCTGCCTAATTAAGAAATCAAATTGACTAAATAGTAATATAATTATGTTTATTGAAGGCGGCGCCTGGCAACTCAATTGCAATAAAGTGTATAAGTTTACTAGAATCCTTAAAAGTTACCTTCTTTCTTGATTCCCCTCAAATACTTTAAGCTTATTTGCATCGTTGTAAAATTACCAAAGTTTGAACTTTAGAACTTTCCTAGTCTCAGGGGAAAAGCTTTCCTAACACTCTCTGGCCACCTTAAACAGGCGTGAGAGGAAGTGAGGGTCCGCTTAAAAAAAAAATACAGATAAAAATACCATATTGCCTCTAAAAAATACCAACTGGAGATTCAAACATAGCAAATAGGTTGACACTTGTCCGAAAAAAAACGAATATTTAGAAAAATACTAAACAAAAATACTGTCCCAAACTGATCACAAAAAAACTGTTCTCAAAATATGTAAAATTATGGCTCAAGTATTTTTTAGCTGACTTTGGAGCTTGTATAACTTCAATACGCATACATATATACTAGTATAATGCACATACATACATCTATGTAGATATAGGCATATACATATATGCATATTAACGGTTCGACACGAAATTCCAAAATGTGTACGCACTGGGCACAGTCTGTCCACAAGTATGTACATATGTTAGAGACATGGTCCACAGCGCGGGGAGGGGTGGGGCAAATGGCGTGTATGACATGCGGGCAAGTCTTTCAATTGATCTTAACGAAGCTTAATTGGCTGCGCATGTATTGGTGTGTGTGTGTGTGTGTGTGTGAGCCTCAGGCAAACACACACACACATGACTGTGTGCCGCATACACTGAGCGAAAATAACTGGAACAGATTGTCGGCGAACGATGTGGACTGCAACTGTGCTGATGAGAATTTCGCACAGTGTAACAATGGGAAAATTGTAGATTTCAAACATAAACAAGTCAGTTTAGTGCAGTCGGGCGTGCCCGACTAGCAGATACCTTAACAACAAACAAAATACATACATACTCTGCTTCATTTCTAATCTGTAAATACCATAAAATATATATCTATATATCTCCATATCTAGCTCTTAACGAAGATATAGACTTGGCTATGTTGACTCACCTTGTCTTCCTGATCGAGAATATATATGCTTTATGGACTTCAAGATGCTTCCTTCTGCCTGTTACGTACATGTATAGGAATGATAAGTAAAAAAAGAAGTTCCTATAAAATGACTTATTTGTTTAACAAGATATCTAAACCAAACTTGTTATTTGTATTAACTAAGCTTTATCTTAAAAACCTTGGACTACGATAACACATATAGGAAGAATAGGTCGAATAGTGGGCTTTTGTATGGAAAGGTTTTGTTTTTCGAGAATATATGCAAGTTATAGTACTACAAGGGTATTAAATCTTCGGTGTGCCGAACACAGCCCGTATTTCTTGTTTTTTTTTTCTAAACCAATTCAGTTTCACTTCCTCTAGAAAATACTATTTGTATTTTATAATAAAGGCTTAAACATAGTTACTAACTGTGCCAAAGGACATTCTGATATGCTAAAGAAAAATGTAATAACTGTACCTGAGTCGAATTTGGGCCGTCTTCGTCCATCCCCAGTTCATCAGATTTCCATTTACATCCTGTCTATAAAACCGTTCTTCCTGAGGATTGTTTATTTACCTAAGCCCTGTCTACAGCATTGATCACAAATCAGGAAAACTTTTTGATATACATATATATACCCTGCAAAATAATCTATGGCCAGGTTTTAGTTACCCTACAATTTATATTTACTTATGTATAAAGTAGCGCGTATTACCCGGCCTTGCCCATTCCAAGTTATTTATTTACAATTTTCAAATTTTAGATATCAATTTTCCATACATTTTCGGCCCATGGAAAAGCCCAAGAAACTATCGAACAGAACAAGCTAATCATCTTTTTGTTCGAAACTCTTCTCAGTCCAGAAATAAAGGAATAAATAAAATTATAAAAGATAATTTGGAATTAAATAAAAAAAAATTCTTGCCTAAGATCAATTTTCCAACTTTTCAGGCAAAGTCGATAACAAATATTTGAATTCCTTCGCATAATTGACTGGGACAAGGGCTAAAACGAACTTATTGCTAAATTAAATGTCTATAGTTCTTAATCTTTCATTTTATAATCTCCGAGATGGATGTGTTTATAAAGACAAAACTAGTTTATGGGCTCGCAGATAAGACGTTCTGTCTGTGACACAGATTTCAAGTTGAACAGTAAATTGTAATCTTACTTGATTCTTAAGACTTCGACAAGGACGCGTTCATATAGATGGAAAAAGGAACAGATTCTTGGTTGATTTTATCAATTTTCCAAGTATAAAACTTGTTTTTTTCAAAAGCATTTGGATTGTCAGGTTAATTGTAATTTCTTGACATTTTACACTTCCTGAGTACTTTCTAAAAAAAATAATCAATATCAAATGTTACAATTATTTATAAGGATGATGAGCACATGGCTGTTTAATCTTTGGACACACGAATGCTTTACACTTTTCAACTTAAAACGACCAAATTTGCTAAGTAAGTAACCAATGCACGCATGAAGGCTAAATGATAACTAATGATGGAAACAATTGGGGGGCTGATTGATTGATTGACTGAACTACTGATTGACTGGCTAGTGGATAGCAGCTTAAGCATTGGCAAAGTCGATGCCCTTCTGGATGTTCTTCTTCAGCTCGGGAATGGCAGCCTCCAGCAGCTTCTTCTCATAGTCGTTCAACTTGGGCAGTCCCAGGTTCTCCTGCAGACCAGCCTTGCCCAACACCAGGGGCGTGGAGAAGAATGTCGCCTCCGTGATATTGGACTGCACGTACGAGCACTCGATGACGTTCTTATCGCCGTTGAGTCCCTTGAGCAGGGAGCCGGCAAAACGAGCGCCAGCGTAGGCCATCGACAGGGTGGCAGATCCGGCGCCAGCCTTTGCCTTAACCACCTCGGTGCCGGCCTCCTGAATGCGTACGGTCAGCTTCTCGATGGCATCCTGGTTGCCCTTGAACTGAGGCTGGCTTTGCGACAGTACCGGCAGAATGGTGACACCGGAGTGGCCGCCAATAACGGGTATCTGCACGCTCTGGGGATCAACGCCGAGGGCGTGGCCAATAAAGGCACGAGCACGCACCACGTCCAAGGTGGAAACGCCAAACAGACGCTTGGGATCGTAAACGCCAGCCTGCAAAAAGCAACAGAATTAGTCGCGATCTATGGTTGTGTTTATTGTCAAGCATTGTTTACCTTCTTTAGAATCTCGGCAGCAATTGGCACACAGGTGTTGACGGGATTCGTGATAATGGCCACCAGAGCCTTGGGGCAGTTCTTGGCAATCGCATTGGAAATATCCTTAATGATGCCGGCATTCACATTGAACAGATCATCGCGAGTCATGCCAGGCTTGCGGGGCACACCAGCAGGGATGACAACAACATCGGAACCTATTAGAAATGATTCATATAATGGATTAATAAATGTACAAGATTCTGCTGCCTGCAGAAAACACAAGAGAGACTTGGAGATTTTGCATCCTCACGATGCCCCACATAATGACGGACGGAGAGACGGACATGGCTAGATCGTCTCGGCTATATATCAACTTTGCCTTTTGCACAAATTGAAAAGCTGTACATAAAGGCCCTTTGATCTTTTGTATTATGCTCCAAATAGTAGCTACCGTTAAGAGTTGATAAGTGGCTGCACTGATTACAAGCCAGTTTATTGGCCAGTTATGAATACCAATAGACGTCTCCCTTATCAGACGACTTGCGACGACTTATCAGGCGCAAGTTATATACATGCATATGCACAAAGAAATTCTGATCTTTCTCTATATATTATGCAAATCACAAGCACACAGCATCTGCTCACAATCCGAACGTTTCATAAAATGTGTGCCAAATGTGGTAATTTTCCACTTGGAGCATTAACCTAACCTCACTTATTGCCCCCTACACTCACCCTTCAGGGAAGCGCCCAATTGATCGGCGCCCATGAATCCCACCGTCTTGCTCTTGGTATCGATGTGAGACAAATCGGCGGCAACGCCGGGCGTGTGCACAATATCGTAGAGCGACAGATCCGTAACGAGGGGATTTTGCTTCAGCAGCAGCGACAGCGGCTGGCCAATGCCGCCGGAGGCGCCGCATACGGTCACCTTATAGTTGTTCTGCCAAAATAGGAGAATATGCAAATTACAGTTAAATGCAAAAATCAAATGTAAACTAAAAGGTTGGTTCAGTCTTGCCTTGCATAAACAACGGTTTATTTAGTTCGACATTTTTGCGTTCATTACGTAAACCGCAAAAGTCAGTTGGCGGACAGATTAGATTTTGCTTGTGGCTTACCTGTTGGCTGACCGAAAAGTTGCGCACGCCTTGCAGTGCCAATTGCTTGGTTACTTGCTTCAACATTTTAGTTTGTTATTTTTATAAAAATTGTTCAATAAATTGTTATGCTAAACAATAGGCAGCTGCGCAGCTTGCAAAATCCCAATAGCTATTCGCGAAAAGCTTTCGGCCAACCTGGCGCAAGGTTAAATGTTGAGAACTGTGTAACTGTGCTTTAACAGCTGTTGCGCGCACAGAACGGCGCTGCCAACTGTTTTGCAGAAAAGCGCGCGGGCGAGCGCGCGAGAAAGCTTTTGATTGAAGCTAAGCTTTTTCCTATATATTTGGATAACATTTCATTTAGTTTTGTTCGATAGACATACACTGAGTAAAATTTGCATTAATTAAAAGTGCTGCATACGTAGCTCAACCTGAAGCGCAATGCAGGCCCGCCGCTCCGCTTTCAGCTCCTTGCCCAGCATTTTCTTTTTGTGCTCAAGCAGCGCATTCTCGCGCGTATAATGTTCAATAATGCGCTCGTAGTCAGCCTCTGCTGGGAGCTGTTCCTGACTTGTCGGCGGCGCAGCTTGCGGCTTCTGCGCTTCCTGTTCGTACAACTGTTTCAAGCGAAACATCTCATTGCGCTCGGCAAGAATGCGCGCCTTGAGCTCGTTTTGCCAGATAATAAGCTCGTCGTATTCCATTTGCAGCCGAAGCAGCTCGTCACGCTGTGGATTCGTCTTCGGCAACAGCAGATAGCCTGTCTGTTTGTCTATGGTGTATTCAACCGGGTTTGGCGGCGGGGAAGCAGGAGCACTAGGCTCATCAGGTTGATGCTCCGAGGTGTTTATTTGCGACGGCGCGGACTTCGAGTCGACGGTATCCTCGTTGATGCTGGCTGTTGGGATTGTTGGTGGGACTGCTTGTTGAGCTGCTGCTGGTGCAGAGGTTACCGAGGTGCTGACCTCCAGCTCATCTATGGACTTCTCTTGCTTCTTTTCACAGCTTCTTAGTTTGCGTTTTAGTTGGGTAATGATGCGTTGAACCTCCCAAAGCTGCTCCTCACGTTTCTTGCTGATGAAGCCCGCATTCATTTCGCTATGGATTTGGGTCAGGAGACTGTCCTGCTTCCGTAGCTCCGTTTGGATGTCTTCCGGGTTATCCGGTAAACCCGGACTGGCCGAGGTGAGTGGAGGAACATATCTGCAAGAGACGAAAACCTTTACTTGGAAATCTCTTAATTTACTTGACGGGTTGATGGCTGCCTTAACAAAAAGCTGACAATTCGCTGAAAAGGATTTCGTTTAGGCGGCACTACGCTCATGTTTTCGTTAATGTGTTCAAGAGATCTATCTATCTAGCGTGCGGTCACATAATGCGCTGCTGTAATCTAATCTGGTCAATGTTTACTTACTTTATCAACTTTACGTCCGGAAAGAGATTCGCGCAGTGGCACAAGAGCGCAACCATCAAGCGATGTGACATCTGTAGCGTTGGGCTGAGGAGCATGGCCAGCGATTGGGCATTCAGTTTGTTGTAACGCTCCTGTTGGATGACTGCGTCAAAGTGCAATATTACCCAGGCCAAGAGGGTGCGATTACATTTTGGCAACTGTTCGAGGAGTTGCTGCAGCTCCGCCTGCTGCTCGGTGACTTTGGGATGCGAGGCCACCTCCTCGAAGCGTGCAACCAAATCTGTGGTCAGCACCGGTTCCGGCAGCTCGCGCAGAAACAATTTGAGCAAACTGCAGGCGGTCGGTATATTCAGCTCGTCCACAGATGCATCGTACTCGCGATTGTTGTACAGGCGCTTGTAGTGCATCAGGCGTGTCTTGATGGGCTCCACCTTGTAAATATGATCGCATTTGAGCGATTGTTCCTGCTGCAGGTAGTCGATGCAATCGCGCACGACCAGCGGTAGATCGACGCCGTCGTGGCAGCGGGAGCGCTCGGTGGCCAGACTGATGGAAACGCCAAAGATGGGATACCCGAGGGCCAGCACTTCTTCTTCGCCGATGCTGTCCTCTTGCTGCGCTTGTTTGCCCTTTTTATCCTTTTTATCTTTCTTGTCGGACTTGTCTTTTTTGTCCTTCTCTTTGCGCTCTTTGTCCTTCTTTTTGTGATCTTTTTCATCATGGTGACGCTCTTTGTCTTTTTCCTTTTCCTTGTCTTTTGTTTTATGCACAGGATCTTCCTCTGGACCTTTTGGCTCCTTTTCCTTGTCGCGCGATTTTTCGCGCTTTTCCTTACTCTTTGAGCTTGTAAATTTAAAAGTTTTTGACTTTTTTGACTTGGAGGGACTCCTGTGCGGATTAAAATGAGCTTGTGTTGTTCTTAGGGGAAGATTCCATTTGACTTACTTGGTGTCCAGCTCTTCTTCAGGCGAACTTTCACCTTCTAGAGCAGCATAACCGCGATCTTTGCCCTTCTCTTTCTTATCCTTTCGTCGTCCAATTAGCAAATCTTTCTTGCTGTGCTTGTCATGGTCTCCATCGCTGACTAGACAAACAAATTAAATGAATTTTGCAGTCGCGCCTTTTTAGGTCTTAAATATGCTCACAATCGCTTTCCTCTTTGCTCTTCTTGGACTTGGCATCGACCGCTTCAGATGCATATAAGCCGGGAAACTCCTTTTCCTCTGGACTGTCGAAATCCATACTGTAGTGGCAACTAGCTTAAATAAATAAATAATTAAAATCAATGTGTTTACGCCATCTGCAATCAATAAACAAAGTAGATGCGCAACACATATTCGATATTTAAATCGATTTAATCGAATGGAGCTGCCAACCCGGTGCAAATGCGGCTTGCAGGTCGGTACGCACAAGCGTAATTTTTGTAAAACATATACAAGCAAGGCGACAGTATTTAAAAATATTAAATTTACTTTTATAAATCATATGAAGCTTTTGTTTTTATCAATCTGAATTTTTCATAAATTCATCAGCAGTCTGATTATTTAGTATAAATAGTTGTGATGTTTTTTATTCAGTAGTGAGCTGCATACTATTAAGCAAAATAAGCAAATGTAAGAAGATTTGTTTACCTTTTGTATGAAAAAGTTTGTTTTTCATACTTTAAGTTTGATTTTCGATTAAAAACATCATGTCTTCTGTGCGTTTGAGCCAAGTGGAACGTGACCATTTGGCGCTGCTCCAACGTCCGGCCAACGAAGTTTTGGAGCTATGCAAGTCGGCGTTCGATTACCTCGTAAACGGACCTAACACGGATCGCTACGATATGCTGGCCAAGAAGTACGCCGGCAATGTGAATAGCGAGGCAGTGCAGCGGGCAGTGGAGGCGTTAATATCGCTGCTTATTCAGGTGACAACGAAGACTGGAGCGAACGGCGAGCACGTGAACATACGCCAGATGTTTCCTAATCTTGGCGACGATGTGCTTGATGTGCTGGAACAGTTCGTGACCAGCAAGCGGAGTTTCGTGGAAGGCTCCATTAAGTCGGCCAACATACGTGCCTATCGGCTGGTCAACCTAGACTGGCGTCTGGAGGTGCGCACGGCGTCTCGTTGTTTACTGCAACAGTCCAACGTGGTGATAACAATGAAGCTGTACCTGCACACAGAGCCGAAGAACGAAAATCGTGAGCTGCTTGAGATAGACACGTCCAATCGTAGCGAGCAGGAGCTGAGTGTCATGCACGAGGATGAGCGACGGCATCGCAAGGATCTGGTAGTACAAACGGATGTCAGCAGCTTAGTGCACTTAATCAAAACGCTTGAGGATGCCTTGGCCGAGTCTAAGACGCGTCGCATTAAGAATATTGTCAATGCCATACACTAAGAGTAAATAAGATATTAGCTGTTAAGTCACGATATTAACTATATTTTAAGCTGGACCAATTTATTGCAACTACAACCTAAACTAAAACCTAAAGCAAATGCTTGTGACTCAATCGGCTGCTGCCAAAGCCTCAGCTGCGGCCGCTCTTAGTGCCACCTTCTTTTTCTGGCGATCGGTGCGTTTCTCCTCCGGCGACTTCTTGAGGGCCTTCACGCGGCGCGTCTGTATTGAACCCGTTTGTTGTTTGCCCAAATGAACGCGTCCCTTTGTATTGCCCAGCGCATCGGTGCTGAGGTTCTTCTTTTTGGTTACCCTCAGCTGCTTGGGTTGTTTTCTGGCCAGCTTGTACAGATCTTCGGAGGCAATCTTGGTGCGACGAATGGAGAAATCAGCCGATGGTCCGATCTCCTCCAGCTCGATACGTGGCGTCTTCTGACCAGACTTCTTTAGTAATATCTTATAGGAACGCATCAGTACACTCATGTCGTCGGTGACCGTGAAGCTAAGCACATGCTCGACACCTTGTAGCCGTATGGACTCGACCTTCTCGCGGTGAAACATGTCAATGAACAAATTACGCAGACGACGTAACTCCTCCGTTTGAGCCCATTTTGGGCCGTTGAAAACCAGACAGGGCTTGACACAGGCGCCAATCTTTTCTGTTTTAAATTCGGCAATTGCCTGATAACGCTTTATGCCCAGCTCAAACATGTCAAGTACTTCGTTTTCGAAAATCCGGCCAATGATTATATTATCCGGGCGCTTCTTTGACGTTGAGCCAAACGTGAAGAGCGCCGCATCGTTTTTCATGGTCAAGCTGAAAGGGAATCATCAAAATCGTATGTTCTGTAATGTTTGGTACATTTACTTACAACTCCAGTGAAGACGGATCATCAAAGGGCGTTATGTCGTTTTTGCGATTTAGGACTTTAACCAGCGGCTTCTTCAGTTGCTGAAGATCCTTCATGCACTGTTTAACGTGGCCACCGCATTTTCGTCCGTCCACAAACAACATTGTACGCGCCGATTCAATGAGCTGCGGCTCACGGGCTAGCAACACTTTCTTTCCCTTGCGGGTTTTTGGTTTTCTGCAAAAAGGAAATTTACGAGAAATAAGTGATGATAATGGTGATGCTTATACAAAACTTACCTGATCATCAAAAGCGACATCCTAAATGTATTAGTTATCCAAGTTTAAAATTACTTCTCAAAATGCATAAAACGCACGTGTAGCGTTCTTCTGATACTGCCAACTCGTTGCAATTTTGGAAGCGCTGGTAACACACACAGCTTGGCAGCGCTGTATCCAGTGTTGCCAATTAAGCCATATTCCAGCTAAATTTAGAAAACAGTTAACATATTAAACTAAATGCCTAGTTTCTGGTCAACTGGTAAATTAAAGCGAGCCTATTAATGGCAGATATGTACACAAAAAGCTATTCAGCTACTTTTGGCTATTTTTAATGTTGAATTCTTTAACTTCTTTTTTGAAGCGGCATTTGCAACACTGGCTGTGTCAGCTGTTGTGTATTGGTATTGAGATTAATCGAGTGTTGTTTGCATCTCATCTGTTGCATGTTGCGATTTAGTTTCGACCAAATGTGCATTAAAATGACATAAAAATGTTGCGAGGTAGCCAAACCCAAGCACTGCTGCTGGCACGCAGCTTTAACTATATTACGCGAGGTTTGACGACTGTAAAAAAGACAGCCAGCAAAGAAGGAAGAGTGAAGTCTAAAAATGGAAGCGGATTTGAAGTGCCAGTGGAGGAGTCTTTGAATCCCAACTATTTGGCGCGAACATTGGGTGAGCAATCACAACACAAACAAGCAAACTCTTTGCTAATAGTATATAACTTTAAAGGCAGCAACTATCGCACATGGGCCGCAGCTCTGGAAAAACATCCCGAGCTGAAAACCGTCAAGCGAAAGGATCTACTCAATTCCTACGAGACATTGAAATCGTTGAAGTATAGCGTGGATGACATTGTTACGAAACCCATGATCATTTATTACGGCGCCTCAACGCTATCCAATCGGCATAGTGTGCTCATCGAATGCGGATTCCAGAATGTCACGATTCCGACGCTGTTCAAATACATAACTGTTATCAACAAGCCGATAGATATGCTCAAGGGACACTGCTATATACCCTACAATGTGAATGTGTCACAGCGTCTGGCTGCATGCTTCACGGATGTCCAGCTGCCCAACGATGGCCAATTGGCAGACGAAAGCATCACCTTAAAGATGCTTAGGCAAACCTTACTCAATGCCTATCTGCGCGAACGTCTGCAAATGGAGGATGCTGACCTGCAGAAGATGTGGCGCGTCTATTCGCGGGTTCGTCATAAAAGCTTCCGCTCCGTGCAGGATATTATCGAGCTGTTGACTACGGTCTTTAAGTTTCCATTGGAGCGGATACGAAAAAATATTTTCCTGCTGCATGCGGATGCAGATAATGTGCGTCGCATTCTTCGGGAAATACCCACAATTTATGGCCAAGACATACGCGACATTGGCTATCGTCGGCCAAAAATCCTAATGTCCACTTGTGATAGTCTTAAGCAGACGCTGCAGCACGTGCGCTCCTTTGGCATCAGCGAGGATGCTGTGCTGCGCTGTCTCGAAGTGCTTACCCTGGGACCAGATACGGTTTTGGAGCGTCTACGCGACTTGAACGAAATCGAGGAGTTTCAGGTTCTGGGCAGCAATCCGCGCGTGCTCCGCCTGGTGCATTACCAGAACAAAGCTCGCCTGCGTCTAGACTATTTGAATCAGCTAAAGGTGCGCTGCGCCTCATTGCACATATTATCCTGCGGCTCGGAAATCTTTGCCAAGTTAGTGCCAAGTAGCTGTAGATCAATTAATACATAATTTCAAATTTTGCACTCGTAGATTTGCACGCGACGGCTCGGATCGCACAAAGGGACGTGACATTGTGGTTTATCTGGGCAACATTCTGCTAAAGGACGAGCAGGTGCTGCGCAATCTGCTGTCGCGACATCCCAACTGGTGTCATGTGCCCGTGCTGCATGTCAAACAGTGTCTGGAATACTTGCTTAGCAAGAGATTCAAGCTCAACGAGATCTTCAATAACATTCACCTGCTATTGTATCCAATGTGAGTAGAGATGTCTGCTTTTTGGGCCAACACGTTTTGATCTGTTTATTTGGTTAATTAAAGCAAACGCATTGAAGAAAAATTGTTGCAATTGCAAGCTGCTGAGGCCATGGAAGAGCTTCAGCTGCCTGTCGCCGATGTGCACGCTCTTAGCAACAATGAGATTTTAACGCTGATTTTATATCTCATCGAATCGGAATTTCATTTCACTGGAGATGGCATTTGGACGGAACAGCATACGCATCACGTCGAGAATTTCAATAATCTTTTGCCCGACTTTCCCGAGAGCCTCAACAAAGTGTACAAATATGGCGTAAGGCCATCAGAGAAGCTGTCCATGCAGCATTTGTAAATAATTTTGAAGCTATTTAATTCATAGTTACTGGAAATTTCTCTTCGATAAAAGGTTCATCAGAACCAATTCACATATTTATGCGAAGATTCATTTGTCATTTGTAAAGAATACTATTAATATGTAGATTTTAATAGCATTAATTGTGAATAAAATCAATGGAAATGTATACACTTAAGTAATGCACATATATTTAACATCATTAAGGTACTGTTTTACATCAAATATATAGTTAAACAATATTCAATCTAGCTTTGCTCAGGTTTGCTACTTGTGCTTGGCTCCGCAGGCGGCGTCTCTTCGTCATGATGCACAACATAGGAGTTGTATTTAAGGGACATATTTCGGGTTTTCTCCAGCACTTCATTGTAGGCGGCGGTCAGGGGCTTTTGTACGGCGTCTTGTTGCTCATAATCCTCGTCCTAGAAGCAAATAAGTCATGATTGCTTTAATTTTTAGATAATAACTATTGATTTTACCAATTCGTAGCTGAGATCCGCATCGTATTCACATTGGTGTGCCACAAATGGCAAGTGTACGACTTTATAATCACGTATTCCTGTGATGTTTCTCAACGCCTCTTCGGGCTTATCAAACCATTCTAAGGTCAGATTGCATGGCACATGACCCACGGGCATGGTGAACTGACGGCATACTACAAAGGCTTCGATGCTGGAGTTGCGCGATGCGGATGGCTTGAAGATGCACACATCCTTGAAGAAGCGCTGCAGCTGCAAGTAGACGTCGCTGGTGTTGGCCGCTCGATACACTTTGCCCATAAACGAACCGCCCTCCTCAAGGATGTAGGTCGAAATGCTCAGCGCTGATAATAAGAGCTGTGCCTGCATATAGGCATCCCAGTCGTGCATGCCCGTGACATCTGGAGCCCCGTCGCTGACGACCAGCTGCGCCTTTTTGCCATCAAAAAACTTAATAATCGCCTCCGCTGTTTCCTCCTTGGTTATATCTTCGCGCAACTGTGTGACACCATCAATGGGCGCCATGCCCTGCATATCCACTGCGATGATCTTCACCTGCTCCCGTTCCTGGGGCGTGCGCGGTTCGTACAAACGCTTGGACAGCACCTGTGACCAGCCACCAGGGGCAGCGCATAAGTCCACAGCGCGTGTTACACCTGAGCATGATTTAACATAAATATTAAACGCTTTCTGATAATGGGCTGGTGGAAATCTTACCCTCGAGTAAATTAAACGTTTCGTCCGCTTGAAGCAGTTTGAATGCACTTCGGGCGCGCCATCCCTGCTCCTTGGCTAATCGGTAAAAAATATCTCGTTTATCCTTTGATGATTTACCCATATTAATATGTTATCAAGCAGTTTTTATATATTTCATTTAGTTGTCCAAGATCAAGACAAAAAGTTGATCTCTAATAAGAAATTGTATTTTGTAAAATTACAGTTCAATGTTAAACTCGCTTCGGGAAATTTATCGCAGAAAATCGATAGGTAGTCAATATAGGGAAGTATTTTCGATATTTATTGAATTTAAATTAAGCCGGTTTTTTATTGGAGCCATTCATTTATATGTGTGTCTTTGAAAAGTCCTCAAACCTTTATTTCTAGGGATCAGGGACTTTCTGTATGGTACAAATTTGACAAAACAGTGGGAAAATCCAGTAGACAGGTTAGCACATTATTCATAAATGTATTTAAGTATGTATTTATGTATGTATACATCATTATACAAACAATTAAAAAAAAATAAAGTTAATCATCTTTAATAAGTACATTTGTGGTTGATTCGTTTCTGAATGGATTTTTGTGGCCTCAGAGCAACTACTTATACTCTACATTCATGGCAACTTATATTTGCTATATATATGTATAAGTAGCCATGTAGCCAATAGAAAATCCAATGCAGCTGTAGAGTAAAGCAGTTGCTCTTCTTTTGCGTGGTAAGCAGTGCAGCGCTTTGTTGAGAGTTTGCGGTTTGTGTCATGACTAATCGTTAGACATTAAGATTGAATTCTAGCTTTGAGGATCGGTTAGCAAAAGTTTCCTACAGTCTGTATAACAGTTCTTCCTTTTCAGAGTTTTATTTTAGAAAATAATTTCTGTTTTAAAATTTCTTTTACTCTTTCTTTTACTTCTCGTTTTACTTAAAATTTCAGCTTTAAAATAAGAATTTTCACGTAATTTTATGAGTCGTTCTTCTTGATTCAAGTACGACATGCTTGACTTTTTCTCTCTGTGTACTTGTTTATGTTAAATGTGGATATCTGCTGTTTTAGTGCTTTTACCTTAGTTTAATCGCACTAAGACCACGCAGGTTAAACACACCTGGCAGCAAAAAGATTTCTTTCTCTCTAATGTCTTATAGTAAATTTTATTCATAAACCCTTGTCATATTTTGCTCATAACAGAAAATTGTAGCTTTCTACTTTAAGACTATATTTCACCGGACTCTCAGTTCTACCTATAATATTTCATTTAATTATAATAATGAAAAAACAATAATAGATAAATAACGTTTAGCCCATAGTTTCTAAAACCCACACGTCTTGAACGAACCCTTTAAAAATCAGCTTGAGCCCAAAACTTCGCCCTTCACACTTTCCACCGAAGAGGGATGGATTTTGCGATAAGCGTGAAATACGTCTCAAGTGAATTTTTTTTTTAAGATCTTTGCCAACTAGCTTACACCCAAAACAACGTCCATTTGGCATTTTTCATTCAAAGGAGTTGATTTTTGGGAAGGTGTGAAATACTTATTAAATTTGAGAGAGAGAGAGAGAGAGAGAGAGAGAGAGAGAGAGAGAGAGAGAGAGAGAGAGAGAGATCGAAAAAGAGTTTTTGTATAATATTTATTTTTGAAAAATATCTTCTACAATATCTGAGCAATTACCAGCCTTACGGCTCTCCTCGCATATCTGCAAAGTCGTAAACCTAGACGTTTTATCTTGTTTCTTCATTTCTTTTTCATGGCATTTCAAATTTCTTCCTGAGCCCGCCAAAAGTAAACAAATGTTTATCTGCCCAGAATTATGTATAACAAAGTTCAACATATGCATAAACACGACTATTTTTATACCCTGCACCCATTAAAAATGGGTAAAAAGGGTATATTGTATTTGTGCAAAATGCAAATGTATGTAACAGGCAGAAGGAAGCATCTCCGACCCCATAAAGTATATATATTCTTGATCAGCATCAACAGCCGAGTCGATCTAGCCATGTCCGTCTGTCCGTATGTATGAACGCAAGGATCTCAGAGTCTATAAGAGGCTAGATGTAGGTGCTCCTAGTGCCTGCGCAGATCGGGTTTGTTTCCGATAATCGATAACTTGGCCCGTTTCCAAGTAATCGATAAAAATCGATATCGATATCCTGTTTTTTGGGCAATTTTGGTAAAGAATAAGAGCTAGAGTCACCAAAGTTGACATATATATGCATTTAATGTTGGAAGAAGAGGGTTCAGGGTATCCCCTAGTCGGGAGCTCCCGACTAGAACCTCTTACTTGTTTTTCATTGTGGTTTCAAAGATGTTTTTTGTTATCAACAAGATATGGCGAGTGGGTTTCAATAAAATCTACCATGAGCCTTTAAACTAAAGAAAAACAAATGCGATCTCCTTAGTGGCGAGTGCCCCACTAAGGGATACCCTGGATATTTTGCCCGCTTGCTTAGCTTTACATTTTTTACTTGCATTTTTAAAAAATTGTCCTTGTTCCACCTTATATGAATGGAATATACATCATCTGTATTTCTTATACCAGAAGCTATGCATATGTAAAATTTGCTGACTAAAGCGGCTCAAACCTACACAAAAAACCGGATTGCGATATGCTTCATTGCTTTATTCCTGAGATCGACGCCTTAATGCAGACGAACAGGGCTAGATGGGGCTAGATGGGGCTAGATAGTCTAGATGACTAGACTATTGTTGGTCCCCATGAATTTATATACTTTATGAGGTCGGAAATGCATTTTTCTTCTGCCTGTTACATGCGTCTGCACTAAACCAATATACCCCTTTCTAAGCATTTGCAATGGGTGCAGAGCATAAACGAAAATGAGTTTTTAAATGCAATTTCTTTCGTTTCAGATTGTGGATAAAGTATAAAAAGGGTCCGTTTGGCTGTTTTTTTGGACAGTTATTGAATATCTTTTCAGCATGTTTGCGACTCCACTGCGGCAGATCAGGAGCCAGAAGGGGCCAGAGGTGGGCGGTCAGGAGCAAGGGCAAAGGTACAAGATACTAAACAAGGGCTATGGCAAGGATGCATTCAAGCTGATGTATGTCAAACGCAACGGTTCGGTGCACAGCATTCAGGAATTCGAGATGAGCACGCACCTGAAGCTGAGCAGCAGCAAGGACTATTTGTATGGGAACAATGCGGATATTGTGGACACAGATGCACAGAAGAATCTCGTTTATGTTCTGGCCAAGAAGCATGGCATCGAGATTCCCGAAAAGTTTGCCCTGCTCGTGGCCAGGCATATACTGAGCAAATATTCGCACGTGGAGGAGGTTCATGTGCACATGGAGACGTTGCCCTGGCAACGCATGCGCATGGATGACTCCTCCAAGCTGGGCGAGAGCAACTCTTGTCCCAGAACCAGCGACAGTTCCCAGCTGCACAATCACGCCTTCATCTTGCAGTCCTCGGCGCAGCATTTTTGCGACGTGATCCTTACACGTCAGGGTAGGTGGAAATATGATTGGTAGAAAAGAGTTCTCCCTTATAACATTTCTCTCTCTGCAGATTCCAAGCCGACCGTCTTCACGGGCATCAAGGGACTGCGCCTCCTGAAGACCACCAAATCCTCGTTTGTGAATTTTGTGGACGACGAATATCGCACGCTGCCGGATCTGCCCGATCGCACGCTCTGCACCGCTGTGGACAGCTCCTGGGAGTACTCGGACATTGAGACGGCCGACTTTTCGCGCACCTGGCAGATTGTCAAGGATGTTGTGCTCAAGGGCTTTGCCGGCGATCCAAAGGAGGGCATCTCCTCGACTTCGCTGCAGAACACAATGTATCTCAGCGGGCAGCAGGTGCTCGATCTGGTGCCACAGGTGTCGCTCATCTCATTCACCATGCTCAATTTGCACTACGGCAAATTCAATACGAAGCCATTCCAACAATTGGTGCCAGGCGAGAATAACGAGGTGCTCGAACCGGTCGACAAGCCATTTAGCACCGTCTATGTTCAGCTCGCACGTTAGAGCTTTTAACTGTTCGACAATTTTAATAACAATTGTATAATTTTAATTCTTAAAAAAAGGCATGTAAGTGTCTTACCCAACTGGAAGATAGCCTGACTCTTTGTCTGGCAAAGAGATAAATCTTACAATTAGCTTGTTATAAATAAATTTGAAAAATCCCTGGCTTCAAACTCGCGCCCCCATCAAACAAATGAACTGCTTTCCATGCCGCCATTCTGTAATAGGATAACATCATCATTGGTAGCCCTGGCTATGTTATTTCCTTGCCGATATCTACTTAGCATACTGTTATAATTAACATAGATAGCGAGACTGTAATAACATAACATAGATGATGATGTTATCCTGTTAAAATTTTAACAGTATAGATACATCTATTCAAAATATGTATGTACATATGTATATACATGCTTCGTTTTAATCAAAATTATAAAAAAATATAAATTAGTTTCTCGTATTGTATGCACTATATGTATGTATATAAGGTATGTTTCTAGTATGTTTGCAAAAGGAATCCCGGGTTATCTCTTGCGATAGTCCCCGTAGAAGCTCTATGACATAGAATTTTGATGTTGATAAGATTTTGCTTAAATGAGTTTCTTTTAGATATCTTGAATAAAGTATTTTAGGGCATTTACATAAGATTCCATATGATATAATGATCTCCAAGACATGAACTGTCCGTAACAAAAGACGGAACTATATAAAGTTGACTGGACCAAGGGGAAGCACAGTTCTTCCGATCAAGAATACATATAAGGTATATATAGTTTATACTTCAGGTCGGATTAAAAATTAGCATTTATATATTGATAAACGATACAAAGATCACAAGGACTCAAAACTTAAAAGTAAGAACGTATAAAACATTTAATACAAAAAGAAGAATGTGAATTTACTTAAAATAAATAAAATTTGATATTCGATTCGACCGATTACTTCATCTGTCGGCCCGTGCGCTTTTGTTTGACGGCTGCGATCGGCGTGGACGCTTCATTTGGCACGGAATCCATCAGGCCGGAGTCCACCTCGTCAACGTTCCTTTTGCCCGACACCAGCTTCTTGATGGATTTGGTCTGCAGCTTCGGCCTGGCCGTGTTCTGGGCCAGGGTTCCGATCGACTTGCGCGGCATCTTCGAATTGGCCATTGCCGTGTCTTCGCTGGTCGGAGTCACATCTGGGCTGACTAAGGCATTCTTCGCTGGCTTAGCTTTGGGCTTGGGCTTAGTGGACTCCTCCTCGAGTGCGATCTGAGCTGCTTTGGCCTTGCCCGCAGCGCCGGCCAGCTTGGCATTTGCCTTCTTCTTGGGCGGCTGCAGGTGTCAAGCATTTGGTTATGGACATTTGTCTATTGTTGTCTATTATATACGAACCTCATTTGTTGAACGCTCCGACGCCTTCTTTTTGCGCTGCATCGGCTTTTCCGGCTTCTCCTGAGCAGCAGCTGGCGGCGGCGCCGCCTTGGCCTTTTCGGTCTTCTCTGCCTCCGGCTTGGTCGCTGCTTTGGGCGCTTTTTCTTTGGCCATTTTCTTTTGCCTTTTGGCCTTCATGTTCTGCTTGGCCTTGGAGGCTAGCTTGGCCGCCGGCGACAACTTAAACGAGCGCCTCACCTGCTCCACTTCGCCCTTGGCGACGGCAATTTTGAGCGCCCTTTGCACAGACTTGGCCATGCGCCGGGCATCGGTCACCTCGTAGCCGTTGGACTTCATGTACTTTATTATGGCTAGCACCGAGGAGCCGGAGCGACTGTTCAATGCCCTGATGGCTGTCAGAGAGTGCGCCAGTATGGACCCCTTCTTGGCCGCATTCATCACAACCGGCTCGGATGTGCCGGCGGCACTGTTCACGCTTGTCGGAGCAGGCGCTGGCTCCTTCTTGGACTCGGCCATGGCCTTGGTTTTCTTTGGTCCCGCCATATTGGTTTTTGTTTCTTTTGCCATCTTCGGCTTGGAATCTTTGATTGTAATCTTTTTAAGACCGTTGCCCAGCGAAATATTCCCCTCCGCATCGGGCGGCGGCGTGGGATACGGATGTTCGCCATTATCCTCCTCCTCAACGCTATCCTCATCGTTTGACTGCGAGTCAGCCGTGAATGGATGCTCGCTCTTCTCAGGCTCCTCTTCATCGGACTGCTCTGATTCATCGCTCGTTTCGTTTTCGATAATTTCCTCATCGCTTTCCTCGTCCTCGGAGCTTCCAATATGCTTGTTACTCAAAAGGCGCATTGTATTTCAATTTAATTTCTGTCTAAGCTCTAACAAATAATGCACAGACACGCGGCACGTTCAAACTGTAACTACGCAGATCAAAAAGCAAAAAGCATTCAAGAATCTGAGCAAAATGAAAGACAGCGAAAAGGAATAGGAATAACGGTAATCGTCCATTCCAATTGGCATTCGCTACGCGTGCAAATGAATTCGTGAAGAGAAATTCCCATTAGAAATTGAAGCACGTCGAAGTCTTAATACCCTAACCTATTACATATTATGAATTACAAGGAAGCTATACGATAAAGAAATCTATTTTATATAAGTTTTTAGTTATTTTAGAGCACAAAATATGAAAACCAAAAAAAGAATATTTCCGACTGAAGCTGATAAGATTTTGTGTTTATAAGAATCGCATAGAGAGGCGAGTAAATGTCAAGTATGCCCAAGATATTCAAGATATTGTATTATTCCAACTTTTATACGATTATTTCTGAAAAGCATACTGGCAAAACTGGTGCAGATATCTGCCAATGCCAACTACATATATATATGTTATCCTGCTCCAGTCTGGCTGATTCGGATACTTGTATATGCCACAATAGAAACATAGACCTATGACGATAGTTTAACAACTGAGGGACTCATTTGCATAGATCAAGAATATATATAAGATGTTAGTGGAATCGAATACTTAAGTTAATCCAATGGTAATAGTACATTTATTTTCCATTTGAATGAATATGTAACATGCTTTTTTGTATCATTTTTTAACTCATCATTTGCATAATTTATTAATTAAATTTTGCTGATTAATATTATTTAAATATATGTAAGTTTGTGTTGACAATTTATTGAATTTGCTGCTGCTAAATAGATTTTGGCAGTAACAATATGCAACCGATGCGGATCCTTTTCCTATTCACACGACCGACGAACCCTTCTCACGGACAACAAACAACATTTGTATGCATATTTTCAACTTTAGATAACATTCTATTTGCTTTAGGACAATAAACGAACAAATAATCAATATAATTTTATATATGTAATCTTTTTTTTTCTTTTTCTTTATAGATTTTTGTTTAAAAACATTTTGTTGCACTTAAAGCAGTTTTGCACTTAATATTTCATTGTTTAGTTTTGTTTAGTTGCTGTACAAATCGTTCACATAGTTGGGTGCAGGGAACAGAGTGAGAGGAACGGATCGGGTCCAGATAACAGGGAGAACGTGTATAATACTTGTGCGAACTGATATATAAGATCTTAAAGTTGAACGAAACGAAATAAGAGCGAAAGCGAAGCAAGCGAAATAAAAATAAATATGCATTGTTGAATTTGGTTTTGGAATGCTACGATTCAGTATGCAGAAAGATATAAATTTAAAAACTCAATAATGATCAAGAAATAATAAACAATTTACGGAGCGCACACACTTAAAACCTAACAAAAAATTGGTTAAACTTTAACAAATGATCGACGTGTCGGCAACAAAATTGTAGGGTGAATGTTCATGTTTTGTTTTTTTTCTTTAAAGTGTGAATAGAGAACAATTAATTGAGTTTATGTACACTTGAGGATATTTAGACAATTTTGATTACTAAAACACACACATATTTAAAATACTTTCCGCTTATTTAGTGATTAGAGAATATTTAACTAGTTATTGTTTAGGCTGCGCTTCGACTCTCTATGTATACACAAATCAAATTTTTTTTATACGTAGATATTACAATATTAATATCCGTTTCGTGGTTTATATTGTGTTTATGTGTATATATGTATGTATATATATATATAGACGCATATACAGCGGATTATTGCAGAAGGGGGCGCGCCGCACGCTGCGCCGCCAGCTTAAATTATGAATGAAACAAAATTTTGGACATAAATCAAAAACAAAACAATTTTAAACAGAATCTAATGGCGCGAGTCCCTAGGATAGAATTCAGCCAAAATGGAGGCTGGAATACGCTTAAGCATCTCCTTGGGGAAGATACGCAGCAGCTGCCAGCCAATGTCCAATGATTCGAAGACAGTGCGGTTCTCGTAGTTGCCCTGCGCGAAATTACAAATAAAAGCATCAGTATATATGGTAATTATGATATGTTTCTGTGATTCATCTCACCTGCGAGATGAAGTTCTTTTCGAACTTGGTCAAGAACTCCAAATACAGCAAATCATCGGGCGTCAGAGCCTCCTCACCGACCACAGCCTTCATGGCCTGCACATCCTTGCCGATGGCGTAGCAAGCGTACAGCTGGTTGGACACATCCGAGTGATCCTTGCGTGTCATACCCTCACCGATGGCAGACTTCATCAAACGCGACAGAGACGGCAGCACATTCACTGGCGGGTAGATCTGTCTGTTGTGCAGCTGACGATCAACGTAGATCTGACCCTCGGTAATGTAACCAGTCAAATCGGGAATTGGATGGGTAATATCATCGTTAGGCATAGTCAAGATGGGGATCTGTGTAATGGAGCCGTTACGACCCTCAACACGACCAGCGCGCTCATAAATGGTGGCCAAATCCGTGTACATGTAACCGGGGAAACCACGACGGCCGGGCACCTCCTCACGGGCAGCAGACACCTCACGCAAAGCTTCAGCATATGAGGACATGTCGGTCAAGATGACTAGCACGTGCTTCTCGCACTGATAGGCCAAGAACTCGGCAGCCGTTAGAGCCAGACGCGGCGTAATGATACGCTCAATGGTTGGATCGTTGGCCAAGTTCAAGAACAGGCACACGTTCTCCATAGAACCGTTCTCCTCGAAATCTTGCTTGAAGAAACGCGCAGTCTCCATGTTCACACCCATAGCGGCAAACACGATGGCAAAGTTATCAGTGTGATCGTCCAGCACCGACTTGCCGGGCAGCTTGACGAGACCGGCCTGACGACAGATCTGGGCAGCGATTTCGTTATGTGGCAGACCAGCAGCTGAGAAGATGGGAATCTTCTGACCACGGGCAATGGAGTTCATCACATCAATGGCAGAGATACCAGTCTGGATCATTTCCTCGGGATAGATACGCGACCAGGGATTAATGGGCTGACCCTGGATATCCAAGAAATCTTCAGCCAAAATTGGGGGACCCTTGTCAATGGGTTTGCCAGAGCCGTTGAACACACGGCCCAACATATCCTCCGAGACGGGCGTGCGCAGAATATCGCCAGTAAACTCGCAGAGCGTGTTTTTCGCATCAATACCAGAAGTGCCCTCGAACACCTGGACAACGGCCTTGGAGCCGCTCACCTCCAGCACCTGACCGGAACGACAGGTACCATCGGCCAAACGCAGCTGCACGATCTCGGCGAACTTGGGGAATTTCACCTCATCGAGAATGACCAAGGGACCATTCACACCAGACACAGTCTTGTACGCTGTTTAGATAACAAAGAAAAATAAAAACAAAAAAAAAAATTTATTTTTGTTCATTTGTAACCATTTTTATAGGTTACAATAACGCTGCTCACATGAATGCAAAGCGGCATACAAGTGGTTGCTAATAAGAATCCGATAAGAAAGCGAACGTCAAAAAATCATAGTGTGTCTTTGGGGGTTAAGTAGTCAGCTGACTGGCAAACTGCCGTTAAGCAGCTGCTGTGTCAAGCACAAGCTGCATATTGGGCAAAAGAGAAAACGATAACGAAAGACAGCGTAAAATGCAATGCGAAATAATGAGCGTTACATAAAAACAATCAAACGTTACAATCAATAAATCTCTATGAATGCACTCTGGCATTCCGTACAAATACGTTATAAACATATTAGTTATAGCTAATAGATTGTATTTAATCAAATGTATTTGTTTTTAGCAGCTTGTTTCTCTTCTGCGCGTCGCTTGCCCAACCATTTGCAAGTCAGGTGCTCTCTGGTTGCGCGCTTTGAATGGCAATAGCAAACAGCTGAGCTCGGCGATCGAGTCATGTGACAGCGAAAAATTTTCATTAGCAGTGAATATCTAGAGATCTAGATTGGCATTGTTCGAAACCTAGTCGTATTAACAAAATATTTCTAATATTTCGTGTGTTTTTATTCGAATGGGTGGGTCTAGGAACGTTGAAAAAACACTATATTGATTTTTTTGTATCGTGTTCTGCTTTCGCATACGATTCGTACAAACTGTCATGGCGGCCGAATGCCCTTGCTGTGGGTTCAGCAAAAACACAATTTTTTAAATGCACTTTTCACTATTGTCACATAATTTAATAACAATTGGGTACTCACTCAAGCGTGGCTGGGAGATGAAGTCCCGGGTAAGAGCAAGGACATGCTCCCGTGTTGCTTGGGCGGCGTTCATTTTGCGGAATGAATTTTCTGTCTATACGCAACTGCTTCTACCTTGAAAAGTGCACAGCAAATTTCGAGCTGCAAACAAAACGAAAGGGTTTTAATTAGATTCCATTATTTTTATCTGGGCATCATTTCAATTAAAGTTGGCGTTACAACATACAATTTTTCCGTTTCAAATAATACTGAGCGACACACGCAAAATTTTGGCCTGCGACGTCGTTGCAAGTACGAAGAAAAATCACTCTGACACGGGTCAAACTGTGTAGAATTTATTGTGACGTCACGTGCCGTCACATGACTTTGCGTGTGACCATATTTTGCAGTATTTCTCTGGATTTCGTTGCGCAGCACTAGTCATCGTTCCAATACATCCCTGGTTTTCCAGAAGCAACTCTATACTGGCATTTTTAGTCACATTAGTGGCATTATTGAATTAAGCGTAGAAAGTGATTTTTATGTACAATTAATTAAATTAAACTAGTTAACAACTGGCAGCACGATCAAATGCGGTATAAAACGAACATGGTGTACGATTAACACTGAGAGTGGCTGTATCTATTGAAATTTCGCTACACTTACCTAAATAAATCAAAACCGCCCGCATAAAAAAAAGCAGAATAACTGCAGCGGCAGCACACAAAGAGATAGAGCTGGGCAGCAACGACCACGACATCTACACAACCGTGCGACCAATACAAAAAAACTCGTTTCTTGTGTGCGTGCGTGTGTGTGTCTTAATTTTATTTGCATTGCAGCCAAAGCGGTCGCTGCGGCATTTCGTGGCAGAGGCTGACCACAAAAGGGGCGTGCCTGCGTCTAATACTCTGTAAGCAGCAGCAGCAGCAGCAGATTGCAGCATTATGATGGTTGAGTCCGACGGCACCGCCGACGCCACACGCCGTCTCAACGTTAAAAAACAAACGCTGGACGATGCGTATGCTGTGCCCGCAAATTTTCTCGAAATTGACGTGGTCAATCCGTTGACAACCATGGCGGCGGGCAAGAAGCGCTACACGGACTACGAAGTGCGCATGAGGGTGAGTAACTGGCGGGGTGGGGTGTAACATGTATGCAAAATGACAGCGGACTGAGCTTGCAAAAAAAAAAAGTGCCAAAACTGTTGATAAAGTAACTGTTCGTATGCGTGTGTGTGTGTGTGAGTATATATATATGCACTGGTGGACGCTGTGTGTGATACGCCTATAAAGCGAAGCGATAATTATTAGTCACAACAAAATTGTTGCAGCGGAAGTGGCCGACTAGCAGATACCCTGTCTGAATTGCCTCAGCATGCATTTCATTAACCTAAACATGCGTTCTTCACATATTTAGTGCAAGCTAATTGAAATAACTTTACAAATCGCCATTAATTTCTCGACAATCTATAGTCTATATATAAATAAACTCAATTTATGGAGTCGAAGACGTCATATGCTGTAGGCATTTCAATTATAGCCATTTTGTATTGGAATACAGGGTATAACAATAGGCGTTCCGCGTTGCATTGTGTGCGTCCGCTTTGTGCCCGATTTTCGGATAGCATTAATATACCCCTGAGTCATGTGCTGATATGAAAATATGATATGCGTGCCATATATATATATATATATTTTAATGCAGCCTGATTTAAATGAGCTTTAAGTAAATAATCATAATATTTGTACTTTGCGACAGACAAACTTGCCGGTGTTCAAGGTGAAGGAGTCGAGCGTGCGACGTCGCTACAGCGACTTTGAATGGCTAAGAAATGAGCTGGAACGTGATAGCAAGGTAACGAATATCATGGATTTAATGCAAACACAATTTAATATTGTTTTCCGTATGCAATGCAGATTGTGGTGCCGCCGTTGCCGGGCAAGGCCTGGAAGCGACAGATGCCATTCCGCGGCGATGAGGGTCTCTTTGACGAGAACTTCATCGAGGAGCGAAGAAAGGGCCTGGAGGCGTTCATCAATAAGATAGCCGGGCATCCGCTGGCGCAGAACGAGCGCTGTCTGCACATGTTCTTGCAGGAGAATGTCATCGACAAGAACTATGTGCCCGGCAAGATACGCAACACATAAGGATGCGGATCCGGATGACCAGGAGATAGCAACAAATAGCAATGCAATGAAGCAACAACTCGAACGAACAAAAACTTAAGAAAGAAAGATTACGAAACCGATTTGGCTAAATCCGACCGTGTGTTGTATGTGTGTGTATGTGTGTGTGTGTGTGCGTGTGTGCGCGCGCGCTTAGCCAACAAAGTAATAGATGCAACTGCTTATTTGGCCAAAGCAAGCGGATGTTGTGGCTCAGTTAATGTTGAGCGCGCTCTAGTTGAACTATTGGGATTTTTTATTGCTAAATTAAATTGTTTATATGCAACGGTATACATACAATACAAAATATACTATATATACATACATATATATAAAATATACATATTTACCTAATAGTGTACATAATACATGCATAAATCCGGCATTGACTGGTCCTCGTCTCATCCCTTGGCCCATCTATTTGGCCAGGACAAACGCTCAGTAATGGACTTTTTCTCGAATCCGCGTGCGAGCACAGCCCTCCTCCCCCAACCCCATCTCCCTACCTTTAGTCGTTGTATGAAATTTGAATAATTATTGAGTTTGAAATTGCAAACAGCAAGGCATCAAGTTACCCTCCACCTCCATGGATTAGTAATACATAATTATACAGTTGCAATTGTTTTGCAAATTACTGAATATTTTTTTGAATCATTTTAGTAATTAATATATGTATTGTACTTCGAATCAACCTAAACATAATTCCAATAATAATACATGTATTTTACTAAAAAACAAAAACAAAACAAACAAATTCCTTTTTTTCTAAACCTTAGCACTCAGCGCAAAGCTATTCGAGATGTGTTTTTTACAAAATATCACATATAACAATATACACTTAACAAAAGCTAATGTGTAACAAGTTTTATGTATATATATTTTAAATTTTAAGAAAGTGATGTTCCGTAAAGTGTTAGGGTAAGTGTTAAAGCTTTGTAAACTGAGCGCCGGGAACTTATAAGATTCGATTTCTCATAATTCCTAAAATAAGGGGAAATTTCTGATCATGGGCAAACTTATTGTTCCTTTCTTTCCACGTATAAATTCCCATTATATTTGTATGGCAGCAACTTTTTTTGTATTCTTTTATATCCAGTTTCGAAAATGGGTCTACTTTGATTTTAGATAAATAAAATTTCTACCTTTTGGTTAAATCTTTAAATTTTGAATTGGACAACAATTAGATTGCTATCAAATGATAATATTTGGTAGTTTCGATTATTCAAAATTGTGCAAATAATTTGACGAAAACCTTTTTTTTTTTTTGTTAAATACGGTGCTGCAATAATTGAAATCGATTTGCGAGATTTAAAAAAAAAAAAGGCGCATAAAATGCAGCCGAAAATGCGAAGCGTGCATTATTGCGTGCGTGCGTGCGTTGTGCTGGCGCAGCCACTGTGCGCAGGGCTGCAGCAAGAGGCGTGCGAGCGAGACGGCCATAGTGCCGATATGGCTGCATGTGTGTATAGGGTTGTCATGTGTGTGTTTTTGGTTTTTTTGTTTTTTATTTTTGGCATGGACACTGCGGATTCTCCGACAAAAACGCAAGACAGCGATGATGAAAATTACAATCTGCTCTGCCAGGCTCACGAACAGTTCAACAAGTAAGTGCCGCACACTATTTTTCATTTGCACATTCATTTCATTTTTATTTCCCGCCCAACAGTTGCGAATATGACCGCTGCCTGGAGCTTCTACAGCAGCTGGAAACGAAGGGTGAGAGCAGCGCTCTAATTTTGCGCCACAATCGAGCTGTGGTCAACTATTACAAGAGCGGCTGCATGCAGCATCAGGCGCTGCTGCAGGAGCTGGAGCAGCTGCCCGACGCCAAGCCGGCGCCGGGCGAGCCCAACGGCGGCATCTCCCTGAAGCATGCGGGCAGCGCTCTCACCGTGGCGCGTTACAACAAGGCGCTGATCTACTACCATCGGCATATGTACGGCACGGCGCTGGAGCGGCTGGCGCCGCTGGTGGCCAGGCTGGAGGCGCTGGAGAAACAAATGGCCGCGCTGGTTGCCACGTTGCAGCTGCAGCTGCTGCTGGCCACCAATCAGCTGAATCGTGCCGAGGCATTTCTCGATTACTTGCAGTATAAGCTGAATCTGGTGGCCAGTGCGCCCAGTCCGAGTCCCAGCGGCAGCCCTGATGAGGCGACGACAACAACAGCCGCCGCTGCCGCCGCCGGGTCTGGGTCGACGGGCGTGGCGTCTGCGCCGCCTGCTCTGGAGAACAGTGTGACGCGCGTTGCGGGCGAGAGCGGGAGCAGCCTGCAGCTGTTGCAGCTGCTGACGCACGTGCTCAATCGCAAGCCCGTGGTCATAACCGAGGATGGCACGCCGCAATTTGCGGCGCTCAAGGCGCAGCAGTACTACATCATGAAGGACTTCCAGATGGCTGCCAAGCAGCTGATGCGCATCAACGATGAGTGCACCCAGGCCGGGTAAGCAGCTCGTCCAGCTGTTCCAATCCACAATCTGACTGCTTGGTTCGTTTCAGCACCGTGACGCCGCAGCTGAGCACGTGCATCGCCAACAACATGGGCGTCATCCATTTGCGTGTGCGTCATTATGCGATTGCGGCCAAGTTCTTCCAGAATGCGCTGCGCTTCGATCAGCAGCTGGCGGCCAATTTGCGGCAGAGCACGCTGCAGACGATGAGCTCGGCCCGTTCGTGCGAGATTATGTACAATCTGGGCATTGCCATGCTGCATCTGCGCCGACCCAAGGAGGCGTTCCACTGCCTGCTGGTGCCCGTCAAGCAATACCACAGCAATCCACGTCTGTGGTTCCGCATGGCCGAAGCCTGCATCATGGAGCACGAGGCGGTAATGCAGCGTACTTTATTAAATCATTTCTCCAGTTGATTTGAATGCTTTACTTAGCAGAAACTACTCGGGAAGGAGCGTCATACGATAGAGAATGTCATGAATTCGCTGGGTTCCAAGCCATACGGGTGAGTAGCCAGCGATGCCCCTCCCAAACGACTTGCTCACCATTTGTCATTCCCGCAGAGCTCACTCGACGGCGGTGCCGGAACCGACGCTTGAATTTGCCGCCTTGTGCCTGCGAAGCGCTCTCACCCTAACGCTGCAATACAAGGCCAACTTCTTTATGGCCAACTCGCCGGAGGTGTCACTGGAACAGAAGGATGCGGCACAGCAGCTGTGGAGCCAGCAACAGGACAATAACTTTTGCAATCCATCGAAACCGATTAGCCTCGAATCGCTGGAGAACATGCTGGCCGCCATCTATGCGGCGCACAGCTTTGTGTCGCTGCGCCTGGGCGACCATGTCACCGCACTGGAAATGGCCAAGCAGCTGTTGCAGAGCGAGCGTCTCTCCGATGCACACAAGTACGAGACTCCTTTTTCTATTTTAGACTCAATTCTAATTCCTTTTCCCTTGCCCCACAGATTGCTGGGCCACATGTACGCCGGCGAGGCCTTAATGATGATGGACAGATCTGGCGAGGCACGCGATCATCTGGAGCCGACCTTTGTAAGCACGCTGAATGCCTTGGATCTGGAGACACGTGACTGGCAGCTCAAGTCCCTGGATGCCGCCCAGAACGTTGTACGATACAATTTGGCCGTGGCTCTGGCACTGCAGAACGATTTTCAGGCGGCCAAAAATCTGCTGCTTACCCTAACCCACCCGATTGTGAGCAAAAAGGCGCTGATCCTGCATCGCTACATCGAGCTCAAGATAAGCACCAGTACACTCAGTTAGGCAACAAATTGTGTAAATAGCATAGAGAAGGATTCAATAAGCAAATCAATGCGGCCTGTAAATATAGATAAACCACAAACAGACAACTCCAAAACTCGCATCATTTCAATGGATTCACGATAATCCAAAAGCATTCACTTCATTTATCTAATGTTCATCTTTAGTTAAGGATCCTTTAAGGAAAGGTTAACATCTCCGACTAAATTTAGTATGTGTTTTCATGATCAGTATATTATTATAGATATTAGTCAACTGATCACACGATTCGATTTGAGAATTTCTTTGCCGATATTTGGAAATATTGCTATCTTAATCGTAAAGCTTAACGATTCACTTTGTACTTCTGAGATATGATTGAAGAGATCTAGCCTTTAAAGGCTTTCAGATGGACGGACTTGGATAGATCCAGAATATATATACAAGCAGATGTTTCCTTCCGCCTGTTGCATATATTTGCCAAAAGGAGTTCAGGGTATAAAAGAAAATAAAAATCCCCCGGGACAGAAAGATGGACATGGACATACAATTTTCAAAAAAACAATATGCCCTTTTTACCCATTTACAATGGATCCAGGGTATAAAAATAACAATAACAATATTGTGTGGGAAAAGGTATCCGGAATAATCCGTACGATAAGAATACGACGAACTATTCTTTGGGAGAGCTTCATGAAATTTTTAGGAGCAAAAATCTGTTACCTATGAGAAGTTAATGAAAATGAAATAAATGAAATGAAACGAAATGAAATGAAACGAAATGAAATGAATGAAATGAAATGAAATGAAAGAAATGAAATGAAATGAAGTGAAATGAAATGAAACGAAATGAAATGAAACGAAATGAAATAAATGAAATGAAATTAAACGAAATGAAATGAAATGAAACGAAACGAAATGAAATGAAACGAAATGAAATAAATGAAATGAAACGAAATGAAATGAAACGAAACGAAATGAAATGAAATGAAACGAAATGAAATAAATGAAATGAAACGAAATGAAATGAAATGAAATAAAGGAATGCTCACATTTTGGTGTTTCAAAAATTCGTGGTGATAATTTGTCCGAAATTTCTAAGGAAAAGCCCTTAAATCGCAACTATAAATAAAATATTTATTAATCAGTACGCATATCCGCAGCTGACAACTTGGGCATCAACCATGGACTCATAATACATATATACTAAATATAACATATATACTAAGCTCTAAGTATTTGGCACTAGTAGAAGTTGTGGCTCCAGCTCCCTGGCATTTAGTTTCGATCAGCGTCGTCGTCGGCGGCGGCGCAGCTCGTATCGATTCATGGACAGGACAATGTTGTCGAAGATGTACTCGCGCACGCCCAGGCCGCAGATGAAGTCAAAGTGATTCCAGCGCTTGCGGGGCACCTTGTAGACGGCCTCCACGTTGGGCAGCCGAGCGACGAGGCGCCAGATATCCGCCGGCGCCACAATGTAATCGTTTTCCGCAAAGAAAATGGTCACCGGAGTTTTGACATTTTCCAGTGGGTACTCCGGCGGCTCGAGCTGCTGGTAGTGCAGCCAGTTGCGTTCCGGGCCGTAGTCGTACTGCCTGAATTTGGTGGACACATAGCCCTGAAAGTAGTGCATCAGCTGCTTGACGGAACCGCCCGCCGGAAAGTTGGCCATCAGATCCGGCAAAAGGGTTTTGTTCAGAAAGCGCGTATCGTAACCGACGGCCGGCCAAAGCCGGGTAATGCACACCAAAGGCTTCTCGTTGTCCAAACAGGTCATGGACAGAAATTTCTTGAAGAACTTGTTCGTCGAAAACATCTCAATGCCCTCGAGCATCTTGGAGACATAGTTGCGCGTGCCCAAAATCGGGCCAATGATCTTGGCCAAGCCGCTTTGCGTATTGTCCACATAGGCAACCGGCGCCAGGAGCGTGGCCGTCTTGAAGACCGCATTGTACTGC